TAGTTTTCCACCATATTTCACAATTGATCTCCTAAAGTAACTCTGGATTGTGTTAAAAGGCTTAATTAATGGTCTTCAATTGAAAGGAATATAATATAAAATTTTGGAAATTATTGTGAAATTAGAATTGTTTCCAGCATAATTGTTGGAACCATTTCTCATTTTCAGAAATTCCTAGTTACATGCAATGGGAGCATAATCATAGAGTACTTCCTTTTAGCCTTTAGTTTCTGTTAAAACCCAGGCTCTACCCTGGTGGGTAGCTCAGTCGGTTAGAGCATCATCCCTATATACCAAGGTTGTATGTTCATTCCCTGGTCAGGACACATACAAGAAGCAACAAATGGATGCATCAATAAGTGGAACTACAAATCGATATTTCTCCCCCAACTCTCTAAAGTTTTTCACTCTCTAAAAATACATACATACATACATACATACATACATAAATCCAGGCTCTGTCTTAAGTAGTTTGCTAGTTATCAAAACAATGAAAAGACATGGGCAAATGCAAATATATAAGACAGAAGAACAAATTGCAAGAGCATTTATTAGTTTGTACAACATATTCTAGGAATAAAGTAGAATAATATTTAATATGCAAAAGTTACTTGATCTTTATGAATTTAGGCTTGTAAAGTAGTAACATTGCAGTATTTAATGCTTTGTTTCTGTTAGGGTAAAGTTATTTAAAGTTTAAATCCTAAAAGTAATTATTTATATAAATTATTACATTTATTTTTAATATTCAGTATGAATTGCAAAATAAATGTGGCCTAAAATATTTCATACAGTGTACTACTGGTAAAACAGTAGAGACTGATACTTGATGGATCCAGGTTTCCAGCTATGTATCTAATCTTGTAACCTTCATACAGTGTTTAAGATTAGTTTGTGTGTGTACATCCTCATTTGGAATGATTTCTTCCCTGTCTGAATGAATAATGTGCCTTCATTGTTTCTGAGTAACCATGCAATTTTAAGTTAATTATAGATAAATTCTAAGTGTCCTAATCTTGTCTTAGATAACCTTAAAAACAAAAGTGACCAGTTAAATAAATAGGTCATAGAGTAAAGCAAAGAGAATTCCTTTGGCAGCTGTAGAATAGAATTTAATATTTACATGCATGTCTGTTAAGTACTGATGATTTAGGTTCTAATTTGCCAGAATATTTATAATTCACTGTATCAGATCCAAATTATATATTGTATCATATTTTATTACTATGTTATAATATTAAAAAAGACTATATCTTTTCAACTGGAACACAGTTAGATTTGCTTTTGTTTTACTTGATTTCCAAAACTGCAAAATAATACCTTTCTGCCAAAGGCACTGGACTCCAAAGAACATTATCTAAAGTTTTGTTTCCCATTTCTTTATAAAACTAATTGAACAGAGTACTCTGGTGGATCCATGATTTCATTTATTATACTGAAATTGATATGGTCAATTCTGGACTTAGTTTTTGAGGGAGGAGATAGCTATCTGTCAGCCATAATACTGAAAAATTATTTTAATTTTTGATCTTTTAGGTTCAGATATGCCTAGGAGGATATTTTTAACTTTGGTCATATTCTGAGGTAGATACTCATGAAGTATTATAAATAAAATTTTACCTTCAATGGAAAGGCAGGGTTAATAAAGACATTATTTTAAATAAGTAAACTTGCTTTTGAACCTTACTTGGCTACCTTATAATGTGTGTATATATACACATATGTGTGCTCATGCAGGCTTTTGTAAAGCATGAAATATTTTGTTTCATAAAATGTTTCTATTAAAATGCCAATTGTTTAGCAACACCCTTTTCCACACTGAAGAGAAGAATGGAAAATATTAAATAGAAATAAGTTCTTGCGGGATGAGAAAGAGGCTGCCTACAAGCATTTTATGAATCATTGTCTCCACCTAGTGCTGGCTTTTGGGAATTAAGATTCCAAGAGTCCCTACTGATGTAATGTCCTAATTTATGTTACGCACATGTACAGTCATTATAGCTGGGCATGCTAGTGCCATTGCAGTTAAGGGTCTGTCAGCTCTTCATTTATAAAACAGAATATTAAGAGGCCTGTTGCTTTTACATAAAAGCTCATGCTGTGCTGGAACTCTGCAATCTAATGGCCTTTGCTTATTGTTTATTAGCAATAAACAATAAGCAAATAAGGAATGTTTATTAGCAGTAGAAGTTGAACTTGACCAGTTGCTTTTAAACCCATACCCTGATGGGTTGAAGTTATACAGGTGCTGCAGCCAAGAAGATGAATCTTTTCATCCGCAAACCGCCCTTTACCTTACAGTGATGCATCAGACCGACGGGCCTCTCAGAACTTGATTGATGTGGTAGGCCCTGAATTGTCAGAGCATTTATTTCAAACCCTCTGGCACACAAGGGGAGACTAAAAATTTTGGCTATCACCTGGGAGAAAAACCAGGAGACTGTGGTTTCATGGAAGTCAAGTCAAGTGAAGTCAGGTCAAGTCAAGAAAGTGATCATTTGTTAGATACTGCTGTTAGTTCCGGTTGGAGAACAGACCTTTGATTTTGGTAATGTGAAAAAACCTGATGGCTCAGTTTCATTGGAGCTTCAGAGATGAAAATCTAATTTGAATTGGTTTATGAGGACAAGGGAGAACAGGAGATGAGTCTTTTAAGGAATTCGCTGTAAAGGGTCACAAGAAATAAGGCAACAACTGGAGGTGGATGTGGGGTATAGAGGAAGTTTTTTTTGTTTTATTTTTTAAGATATCAAGCTGTCAGACATTGTGCAGATGAAATGACTCAGAAGAGCAGGGAAATTAATACTTTAGATGAGAGAGGATAAGAATCTATGCATGAGCAGAAGAGCTGGCCTTAGAACACAGATAGCTCTGCAGTAGCAGAGAGGCAGGCTCTACATCGTTAAAGAGCAGGTCTTTTCTGCCACCTCCGCCTCTTGGTGTATAGGGTCCAAGAATTTTCAGCAAGTTTATGGGAAATCAGGTCCCTTGAACATGAGTTCGAATACTGCGGGTGGTTTTGATGAGGCTGACCAATCTCAGAAAATTTTCAGGCCCAGATGATCATCAGGTGTGCTAGAAAATTATGGGACTGCTCCTGTATTCTCATTCATTAATCGGTGATTTATTATATTAATAAATGTCTATCATTTGATTTCTAGACTCACTGTTATTTAACTATAGTGATTATTCTCTTGCTATAATGTTAAATTTTATTGGCTAATATTGATTTAAAAATTTTACATACATAATTTTAAGTAAGATTGCTGTATTACTTTCTAAATTATCAGTAACTGACTTCATTATGAAGCTTATCTCCCTTTCATGAAATGAATTAGCTAGTTTTTTTTGTATGGTTAGAATATTTTATATTGCATGAAGATGATCTGTTCCATGACCTGTGAAGTCATATGAGCAAGGCTATGGTTTTTGTTTTATGTTTTAAATCTATGAGTATTTTTTTTAATTCATTTATTTTATCAGAAATTTAGCATTGAGCCTGGGCCCGTGGGGCTCAGTTGATTGGAGCGTTGTCCTGTAACCAAAAGGTTGTAGGATTTATTCCTGGCCAATGCACATGCCTAGCTTGCGGGTTAGACCCCCCTTGGGGACAGGTACCATCCCCAGCCCAGGTGCATAGGGGAGGCAACCAGTTGATGCTTCTCTCTTGCATCAATGTTCCTCTCTCTCCCTTCCTCTCTCTCTAAAAGCAATGAAAAAATGTCCTCGGAGAAAATTAAAAAAAAAAAAAATTTTCATTGATTAACATACACATGCAGAATATACTTTTTTAATCTCCATGATACTTAGCTCAATTTTTCTATTTAGTTTGTATTATATTTTAATTAATCTAGACTTATATGCAAAAGAATTGTTATTTTATTTATTTCAAAAACATTTCTTTAAACCATTCTATTGATGTTCTATTTTTTACATTTTTATTTCTATTTGAATATTTATTACTTCCTTTTATATGTTTCTCATAATATAATTTAAATACATTAAAATAAATTGAGTTGAAAACTTTATTAATTTTCCTTCTCACATTCTTAATAAATAAGCATTTAACATTATGAATTTACTTTTGACTATAATTATAGATGGATCCTTTACGTTTCATGATTGTTCTTTTTGTTGCTTCCTAAGCAGGCATTGGTCATGTTTTTTTTGTTGTTTTTTTTTCTATCTGGTATAATAAAATTTTGGAAGGGAGAATGTGTTTTTAAAGTTATCTTGTGATTGAAATTATAAATTTTAAACTTCAATTTATTTCTAATTTTATTCTATGATTTGCCACAAAGAGTGGCTTGTTCAATTTTCATTTTAAAACTGTAATTGAAGTTTACTTGGTTAGTGGTAAATATAAATGTTCTAAGAATTGTTGAGGAAGATGTATTTTCTTTTAACAGACTACAATGTATATAAAAAAGTCATACTTATATTTATTATAACCATCATATTTTTTATTTTAGTCATATTTGTTTATTTTTATGAAAAATTTTTATTTTTATTAAATTTATTGGGAGGACATTGGTTAATAATATCATATGGGTTTCAAGTGTACGTTTCTATAATACATGATCTGTTTATGTTGTTTACCCACCACCCAAAGTCAGACATTTTAGATCCTTATTTGTTACTTTAAGAAAAACTAGTAGATTGTAATCTGTTGTCTAGGTTGGTTTCTTTCAATGTCTAAAAAGTTTTGCTTGAATTTTTTGTTAGTATTGTAATTTATGTCATAGTTATTATACAATGACGTTGTTATTCTAATTTACCTGCCTCAATTCCACTGTCAATTATAATATTGCCAATTTTTCCTGAGTTTTAATAATTTATTCCTTTATTTTAATAATACTCCTATTTGTATCTCTTGTACACAGTAAACTATCAGATTTGGGTTTTTCATTCTCTGCCTAGTTCATTATAAGTACAAAATAAATATTCTGAGAAGTGTATTTTATCTTGCTAAATTTCTTTTGTCTTTTATTTTGCTTTAGGTGGGCCATAAAACACGCAGGGACCAGTAAGCCAGGCCAGTGGAAGCATTCCAAAGTTGAAAATCCTCTCTGGAATAAGCTTACCTACATGTGGCCAGTCCTTCCCAGTGGCCAGCTGAATGAGGTTGTATTGCTTATATAAGACATGGTTGTGGATACTTAAGTTTTAAGGCCCAGTCCATGTTTATAACGATTTCCATGAAGCTTTTAATTTGTAGCTGTTAGGTGCAAGATATTAATTAATTCTGTTGTTCTATCAATTAATTGGAAACATGTATTTCAGTCCTCCATTATGGAGATGAATTTATTTTTTTCTTGCATACTGTTAAGTTTTGCTTTATATATTTTGAAATTTAATTCTTAGACACACACATGCTCAGAAATATTGTATCTACATGGTGAATTGAAATTTTATCATCAATGTAGATTCTCTTGAGCTCTAGTGAAAGCCTCAATTAGTCAATGCTAAGAGAAATATTTCAGCTCTTTTTGGTCGTTTGCCTATTATTCCTTATTTTTATCCTTTTACTTTCTTTATTTGTATATTCTTCTGTTTAAGGGTCTCCAATCATCAGCATACAGTTCATTTAAAAAAATGGTCTGACAATTTTTATCTCTGCCTAAGGATTTAGTCTTTTCTATTTATTGTAATGGCATATATTTAGGTTACTTGCTTTGTATTTGTTCTACTTTTTCTCTGTTTCATTTTCCCTTCATTCCTATTTTTTGATTGACTTGTTTTCTCATATTTTTCTCATCCACTAGTTTAGAAATTATATCCTCTATATCTATCCTTTATTTTTTGTTATTAGTACAAACACTTTAACTTGTATATGTAAATAATCAAAATCTAAAATTAACAAATACATTTACTCTTCTCTCAAATAACTAAGAACGTAAGAATATTTTAATTCCACTCATTTCATTTATAACGTAAGCTATTATTGTCATATATTCCAATTTTATCTTTTAAAAATTTCCACAAGATATTAACATTGTTGTATGTAGTTAGTATTTACTTAGATTTACCTCAAAGTTTTCTTCTCCATGTAAATTCCTCTTACATCTCAGCCTTTCCTCCTGGGGTTACTTTCCTTTTGCCTAGTACACCCTTCTTTTAGTTATTGCTAGCAAACCTCATTTCTGCCTATCTGAGAATGTCTTCATTTTGCCCTCATTCTGAAGATATCACCACTGACTTCTACCTTTCCTTGTTGCTATGGAGGAGTCAGCTATCACTCTAAATGTTATTCCTTTGAGGGTGTTCTGTCTTTTCTCCCTGACAGCTTTTAATATCTTCCCTTTCCTTTGGTATTCTTAAGTTTCACCATAATATGCCTGAAAGAGGATTTCTTTTTATTTCTCCCCCTTGGGGGTCCTTGAATTTATGAATTAGTATGTTGCATCATTTCTGAGAATTATCACCCATTATCTCTTCAAATATCCTTTGTTATATTTCCCCTCACTCCATTTTTTTAAATAGAAAACTCTGATTAGGTGTATGCTAGACCTTCTAATTTTGACCTTTATGTCTCTTAACCTCCTTTTCTTTCATACTTCTTTTTTCCCCTTTTCTAATGCATTTTTTTGCATAATATTTTCAAATTACCATTCTTTCAGATTATTTTCCTATTTATCTTTATCTAATGTGTTTTATACTCCAAGTGAAGCTAGTCCTGTAGTGTGAAGATTATTTTTCTCTTCCACACAGAGAAAATGTTTGAGATGGTCTCTTTTACTTAAACCACCTGGAGATTCACTCTCATTTGCCTCTTTAGTGACATTTATCTTACTGTGGTTTTGTTTTATGACGGGAGATATTCTCCTGTTAGGCTTCCCACCATTGCCGGGCCCTGGAAATTCTCTCTTGTGCTCTTCTCCTGAAAGACCAAGGAAGCAGAAGTTCACTGGAGTTTGGGAAATTCCCTTAAGATAAAGTCCATTTTCAGCACTTTGTTTACCTTTCTGGGTCTCTAGTATGTCTTGCTTTATTGCTAGGACAATGATATGTTATAAATAGTTTTAAAAATATTTTATCCCATTTTTTAGTTACTCTGTCATATTTTATGACTTTAATCACGTTTTTTTTTTTTTCTTTACGCTGAAATTACAATTCCTTATGCTTCCCTACCAATTAAATTAGTGAGTCTGTGCACTTTAGGGGAAGAGCTGATGGGGTCTGAAACCAAGAAGTCATTGCTTAGGGCCCCAAATGCCCATATATTTAGACTTCAGTGAAGCAAAATTCTAGAAAGCTCAGTTTTGTTGAAAAAAGGAGGAATTCTTCAAAATGCCAGAGCCTGTGGGTTGGGTAGCCTGAGCCAGTGTCCAGGAGAATTATGTGTCTAGGTTCAGGGTTTGTAGCAATATGAGAGCCAACGTGGAGGCCAGGGTGGGGGTGCACAGAAGGACCAATAGACCCAGAATTCGACCAAGGGAGTGGGCGGGGGGCCAAGAATTGTGCTAATTGTAAGACTTTCTTCAGAGGTTCAGGAAGGATAGAGGCCGAAGCCCAAGGCCTAGGGAGGATAACTTATTCTTCAACCAGTAGTGAGCAGGTGCCAGCACGTTGCCAGTGGCCAAAGAAATTAAAGAGGCACATCCTCAGAGGCCTAGAAGGATCAAAAACAAATACCCACGTAGAGACCATGGCCCCCTTTTCCCAGTGGTATATGGATTATTGAACTTTCATCTACATCCAAAAACCACAGTGAGAAAGGGGAAAGGAAAGGGACAACATTGAGGGCAAACAGCAGTTCTGGTATGAAGTTTGAACCTTCAATTTGATTGAATATATATATAAAATACGGAGCTAAAAAACAAACAAGAAAGATTTTTCCAAATGGGCAGAAACTGGGGCACACTTAATTAGGCTATTAATCTTCCCACCCACCTAACTAGATGGAGGAAGGCAGGGAAGGCATACCCAGAAGTACTTATACAGAGAGAGAGAGGAAATTACAATGACTACAAATTTAACAGATATTGTGCATACATTTTTTTAACCTTGATGTACAAGGAAAGTATTCAGTTAATTAATTAATTTAAATAATGAATGGTAATTATGTTAAGAAACCTAAGTTAGCCGGCTTCCTTTTAACATTTACCTTTAAAAAAATAAAATTTTTGTCCATAGTCTGGGATTTGATAACTAAATGATCTTAGAGATGAAAATGGACTACTCCAAAGTTCTCTAGCCATTCAAATAGAACAGTAGTTTTTGGACAGAGTGAATAAGAAGTTCGCCCTCACTTGTAAATGAAGGGAAAGGACTAAGGCACTAAATTAGCTAAGGTGAGACAAGTTGATCATGTGTTGCAAAAAGACAGCCTCAGAGCTCTGTTATTTCTTGAAATATTTGAGAAAGAGAAGAAAATACTTAACCAAGCAGGGAACTCAGTTATTCAAATTCAGTGTGATCTATTTCATTTAAAATCTGGATCTATCTTATCTGAAGGAACCATACTTTCTTGCAATTCCATTTCCATATAATTTATTTCTTATGCTAAAAGATAAACTTATTTGTGTATAATTAAGTGCAATTACTATTTTGCTTAGAAAGACTTTCTGTTAAAATAAACTGCAATTAGAAATGTGACATATTGTGGGATTCAAAACACTGTGGTCACTGTAAGCATATGTATTCATTTTATTCTAGATTTAATCTTCCAACTTTACTATAATACCTACTCTTTATTTATTACATATTTAGGCAATGCAGATAGAGCAAGGAAGGAGAGAGAAATGGCCTTGACCGTCATGGAGCTTACAGTTTAAGAAGTATAGGTTGTGAGTCAAAAGGAAGGAACTGGAAAAGGAAGGCAGACTTGGTGAATAGGGGACAAGAGAGGGGAAGGAAGAAACTCCCATAAAAAGTTTAACGTCCCAGAAGTCAAGGCTGCTTGTTGAGCCAGTTCATTCAGTTATAAGGTCAGTATGAGGAAGGGTAGCCAGGCTGACTGAATGAGCCTGCAAATTAAGTCAAAATATTGAATCTAAGAAAACCCTCTAAGAAACGCTTTCCTAAGTGAGACTCACGTTCTTCTGCTAATTCCTTGATAAGAACCTGTCAAAGCAGATTGAAAACCGAGGGAAGATTTAGGGAAATGTGGACAACAGGAGTTATTCTGTGGTAACCGAGACTGCATCAGCATCAAACTGTATACCTCTCAGTGGCGGCAGTTGGTCTGAGAACTGACTTCATGCTGTTCTTGCTGTTGCATATCATTCATCCTAAAAGGCAATTAATACTGCGTTTTGTAAGCAAAGAGTATTTTATGTCTTAAGATATCTGTATTTTAAAAGTATGTCAAAACCTTCTAAAAACAAGATTCATGAATTATTTTTTTTCTGTGACCAAGTTCACTGGAATAATTTCCAGGAGCTCAAACTATTTTCTCACTTCTTGGGGAAATGTTGTAAATTGAGAAATTGTACTTCTAACCACCTAAAGGTTGGGAGCAAAGAATTTCAGATTCCAGAATGAAATCGTTATGAAAAGTGAGCCTGAAGAGGCTTAAGACTTTGGAATGAGCCACTGAATAATGATTTTAAAACTTCCAAATTTCTGAATTAAAATAAATCCATCTGGAGGGGCACATGGTAAACAAAGGAAAGTTAAAAGTACACATTTTATTACTCTGTTAAGAAATGATGATAATTAACTGTAGCTATAAAAGGAATAATGGATATATAGGAAGGCCCAAGAGAGAGAATTAAAGAATTAGTAGTTTATTAATAGTAAATAGATGAAAGAAGGCCAATTTGATTAACAATTTAGATCTTTGGTTAAGAGCTGGGCTCCCAAAGAAGCGCAGGGGGCCTCTGGTTATGAGAGAGGGATGAGGGAGATAAAGCGGAATTATCCATGGAAGGGAGCACCATGGCCCAGCAAGGGCTCCTGACGATGCAGCTGTGCCATGGAGTGGTGTGAACACAGAGAAAATGACTAAAAAAATGAATGGGAATGTAAGAATTCCAGTGGGGAAAACAGAGAGGGAAGAAATTGCTCTCTCCAGCAGGTGTAATCCATGTTTTTTGTTGTCCTTCATTTTTCTGACACCATATTTCTCCATTTCAATGAAGAACCTTCCATAAACCAAAGACCATATGCCTTGGTCTGTATGGCCTAACATGCCAGCACATCTCTCCAAGCCATGTGTACCTTTATCTTTGTCATGTGCATTGGACACTGCCTGGACACTAGGGCCAGCTCTGTAGTGATTGAGCATTTTGCCTGCCCCTCCTTTAGGTGTTTGTACCCATATTCCCTTCTCCCATTTTTATTCATGAGATTCTCTTGGCCTCCTTAGAAAGTGAAGCCTGAGGCAAAAGGCTTATGTGCTACAACTTTCTTAGGAAACGCAGTCCCAAGGAGCACCAGTAAGGGACAGGCGGGAAGAAAGGAGAGCCAAAATGAGGACGTGTTCTCAAACTGTCCTCCAGGGAGCCATTTAAACAGTGTTCTTAGAAAAGTCTCTCCTGGTGGGGAAAGAGGGAGGAGTTTATCCATCAGCTTCCATCCCTCTTTGGTCAAAGATTTGCCCAAGATCGTGCCAGTGATGGGTCAAAGATTCAAATGTAGGGATTCTGGTTCCCAGAGCCCAAGCTCTTGCCATTCACAAGGTGTTCTCATGAATGTGATCTGGTGATAAGGAGAAAACAGAAGCAAGGGCAGGGGACGTGGAGTATTGGGGAGTGTGGACGGCGCAGGGCAGGGCCCGGGCTGGAAATTTTTGATTGACCTGGGAAGGCTTCTTTGAGGTGATAGTTGAGTAAAGACCTGAAGAACAAGCAAATCCAGGAAACGAGCATGCCAGGAAATGCAGAGATCCTGAGATGGTGTTTCGGAGGAACAGTGAGGAAAGTGCGGCAACAGCAGTGTGTGCAGGGAGAGAACAGCAGGAAGTAAGGTCACAGAGAAAAGAGGGGTGCGGATCACACAGAGCCTCGGGCCGTTGTAAAGCCTTTGGCTCTTACTCTGATATGGGAAGCCGTTGGAGGGCTTGGGGCAGAAGGGTAAAAGGGGGCTAAGGCAGAAGCAGGAATAGCCGTCAGAAGGCCTTGACGGTCCCCAGGTGAGAGGAAGTAATGTCTTAGACCAAGGTGGTAGGAGTAGAGGTGATAAAACGTAGTTAGGTCCTTGGTATGTTTTGAAAGTGAAAGCAGGTTTTTCTTCTTATTAATTTAGAAATAAATAACTAAATACATAATTAGAAAAGATCTTGTATTGGTAAATTTAAAAAGATATTTTAACTAACTCTTAAGACAATGAAGAAGTCATAACGAAAATTTAACGAGGAAATACTTAGGACCAAAGAAAATGTGGCTAAAGCATACTTGAAGGAAATTCATAACCTTAAATACTTTTATTGAAAAAGAAGAGAGGTTAAAAATGAATGAGATTGCATTCAACCTAAGAAGTTAGGAAAATAATAGCAGAATGAGCTCAAAGAATTACAAGAAAGGAAATAGAAACTTAGGAGAGAACTTAATATATAATACTTATGAAACAGAGTCAACAAAATCAAAAATTATTTCTTAAAAATGTTAATAAAATGGATATACCTGGCTAAAATGGATAACAAAAAAAGAGTAAATGTAAATAATATTAGGACTAAAAGAAAGATAGAAATATAGATGCTGAGAGATTTAAAAAGTAATACAAGGATGCTATCAGTAGCTTCATGATAAATAATATTCATAAATAAAAGTCAGTTTCCTGGACTTTTTTGTAAAAGTAATTTAACCAAATGGAATCAAGAAGGAATTTAAAACTGGGTAGTCAAATAATCATAGAATAAATAGAGTCAGTAGTTAAAATACCCCCACAAGGAGAATACCTTGATGAAAGAGTTTTATTGGCAAATACTACTGAACGTGTAAGAAAAAAACATTCAGAACATTATAAAAGAAGCACAACTTCCCAAATTATTTTTTGGGGCTAAGGTAAACTTGATACTAAACCTTGATGAGACTAGTATACAAAAATTCCATGTTAATTTTATTTACGAATGCACATGCAAAAATGCTAAAGAAAATGTCAGCAATTGAATTCAATAATCTCTTAAAAAGATAATGCATTGTGGCCAATTCTGATTAACTTAGAAATGAAAGATTAGTTTAAAATTTTTAAAATCAATTAATGTAATTAACACATAGCTGATTAGAAGGTAGATAATCATATGAGTATGTTTCAGTAAATGCAGAGAGAAACCTTTATATGGTCCAACACCCATTTCAGAAAATAAATCATGGGAATAATAGGAAATTACTTAACCTGCCACAGAGTATTTATGTCCCAAACAAGCTTTTAAAAACTAACCAAACTGATTCTTAAGTGTACACGAAATAGCAAAGGGCCAACAAGAGCCAGTTTCTGAAGAAGAATAACATGGTGGGGGTCCTTGCCCTCCCAAATATCAAGACTTACCAGATATAATCAAGGCAGCACGGTACTGTACTGGGAGACAGAAACCGACACATCAAAGAGAACAAAACACACAGAAAAAGACCCACACTTTCAGGTAATTGTGATATTTCGCAGCATGGTTACTGCAGATTAATGGAGAGTTAATGACTGCCAGGACAATTGTTTATACAGACAGAACAAAGAAAGAAAGAAAGATCTTGGATCTTGCCTAACATCGCCCCTGGTCATCCCTTTCCTCACTTACTCTTCTTCCGCAAGTGTCTGTTTCTGGGAATGGCAGTACCAGTCACCCAAGCTACAAACCTGGAAGCCATCTTTCCTTGCTTTGGTTCTCCCAAACATCATGTTCTATTAATCCTCAAGTCTGATACATACACCGCGCCATCATTTTATCCCTCCTTTACTGCACTAACTCCTCCTAAGGCTTCAGGTCGGTTACATGGCATTTCTGAGTTAGATTCTCCTCCTATGTGCAAACCCTGTCACACCTCGTGCAAACCCAGTTGCTATTATATTACACTATTTAATTGCCAGTTTATTCCTAGATAAGTTTCTGAGCACCCGCTAGAAATCCCTTAAGAAAGAGTATCCTATCTTGTTCATAGTTTTATTTCCAGTGTCTAGCCCTGTGCCTGGAATATAGTAAACCACATTTAGATAATGCATGAATTTATAAATAAATGAATACAAATTAACTGAATCCTACTACTGAAACGTTTGAAATTTAAATTATATTATCTCACTATGATTTTCGGAGTGTGCCCCAGATATATTCTTCTTTGCCAAATAGATTTAGCTTAAGATAATATTATTTCAGGTTGTAAAACCACTTTTCACACATTCTTACTTTCCTCGTATTAAAGATATTTCACACATGAACAAAAACATTCCAAGTTAATTCAGTTCTGTTTTCCCAGAATGATGTTTTTTGAAAGGGAGTAAATCTTCCATGCTGTAATGCAACACAGGTTTTACCTACATTTAAAAAATTACTATCCTTCCTCTTTATTGAAATAAAACATTAGTAAGACTTGCCTGGAATATCTTAGGTGCCCAATACATGTTTGATAGATGAATGAAAGATGAAAAGTATAAGCGGTGTGTTATATTTTTATTATATCGAGAAGTAACTCTTCTTACTTATTGTCAATTTTGCCATTTCTTTCTGAAGGAGTTTGATTGGCCAATAGAAGGAATGCTTGTTCCAAACAGCCCTTCCATGAAGAAACCCACCTGTAAGTCACCGGAACAGTATGTCCCTATGAGACTCAGAGTTTTGAGGAATGGAGACAAGAATAAAAACAGAGCCCCTGTTATAATCAGTCCAGATGCCTCACCTGGACGAAAAATGCAGTAAGAACAGCATGCTCATTTTTCTTGTTAAATACGCTTTCTAATTTCTACAGATTTTTGCCTTCTAGATTTCAGATGTTTTTTTCCTGAGAGAATTCTGTGTTTATTTTTTTAAAGGACTCCCATGTTGATATTTGGGTATAAAAATCAATACCAAGATTCATTTAGTTTCTATGTCAGGAACTATTCCAGCTCTTGACTTAAGCTAGGCATGGGATAAAATAATGACTTAGAAATGTGTAGTTCTGAAAATTTTATATCAATGTGTATTTTGAAATTAACAGTTTTGTTTGAGTTTTGTTAATGTATTTTGAAATAACTGAGCTCATAAATTGCTTCTTAAATATAATTTTACAATTCTGTATTAAAGTCATTATTATACAGAATTATTTACATTTATTGCTTTGGCATATTTCACAAATATAGTTCTCAAAATATAACTTCACATAATTTGATATCCTTGACTTCATCATTGTAGAAAGGCTTCTATCTGCACTTTTGCTTTCATTATGAGATTTGAATAAAATCTTCCCAAATAGCCAATATTTCTTCAGCATTGGAGAAAAATCACCTGCTGTATTTTCATTACATTTTATGACAAAAGAAATCATAAATCAGTGCAAAGCTCTGATATAAGGAATGAGTTAAACACATTGTTTCTCATATGATTAGCAGTGATATTACCTCTTGACCTTTCTTTTGAGATGTTTAGAATATTTGAGGCTGCTGATAATAGTTTAATATAACTTTCTTCAAATTGATTAAATACACTTCATACATCGCTGAACAATGAGTAACATTCAGACTGGCTGTCCACTGAACTGCCTTGTAAAGATGATAAAGTAAAAAATTAATCTTCAAAGTAAAGTCAAGCCTGAAATTGAAATCTTTGACGCATAGATTTCATAATTAGCTCATTCTGTTAGATGTAAAATGTGAGGGCAAAACCCTTAAAGTACTATATGACTTTTTAGCATACAAACTTACCAAATAACTTCTGTCCCTTCCTACATTTATTTTTTCTTATCCTATATCTTTAACTGTGGCTCAAAATTACATACAGATTTTGTCTTTTCTCATTAATGTTTTAAAATATATGGTTCAATAAGGTAATCCAAGCATCATTTGAGAGATTTGTTAATTTGGACAGCTATTCTAGCAAGGAATATGTGAAATTCTCTGCTGTCTATGCTCATGGAACAGGGTGTCCTGGCTAATCAAATATTCACTTTGTTCACTACATGAATTAATTATTCCCAAATAATTAAATTACACTGGCATACACTTGACGCAAAAACTCTACTACATATGGTTTAATTTGTGTTGGCTGATTCAGAAAGTTTTCTACAGGATCATCAATAGCATTTCCTCCCAGAGCTGTGTGTAAGTCCTGGTAACAGAGAGTTTAAACGGAAAGAGACTTGACTGACCTTACAGGGAGGCTGTGTGGCCCAGCCCCGGTGGCCGCCGCTCACTCTGTGTTCTCTGTGAATGGCACCTCAGAGTTGGCGTGTGATGGAAGCCTTGCTGTGCTACTTTCAATATATCCAAGTTAAATATCATCTCTTCCAGAATAAATAAATGCAAGATGACAGGTGGTGGTAAATTGCTTGCATTAACTTCAAACTTATTTATAAGAAGAAGGAGGGTTGGGGTCCTTAGTGTTTTTACAAGCAAAATCAGGCTGAGAAGATGAGATATAGATCCATTTTAACCAAATCCTGCTTTGGTAGCATGCTCTCCTTCAGTTATTTAATAATTCATTCTTGACAGTTTGACTAGCTTTTGTTGTTGTTGATTCCTCCATCTACAAAACCAAAGGAAAATCAAATGGCATTTCTTTGTTGCTTAGTTGATGGTTATCTTAGTGAGTAACAAAATCTTATCAAATAGTCTTGATAAGGGTTGTCAAATTTATATAAATTAAGACAATTGCGATTTCTATGTCAGGGGTGAATTTTATCTCAGAACTGTAAACAAAGTTAAACAAAGAAAATTTTGCAAGTGATATTTTAAGGAATTATAAGAGGAAAGGCTTATTTTGAAGCTATAGTTTAGATAATTTTAGTGAGAAAGTTATTAATAAGTTATAACCTCTGGATTCACTCAAGCTCCTTCTAAGGCCCTTTATAACCTGCCCCTGTTTATTTCCCTAGTGCCTCGCATATCAACATCCCTCCAATTTTCACTTTTAAGTCTCCTCCACTCCCCAACACTTCCCATCTGCCTCAGTGATACAGGGTTTCTGAGAATAAGTTTGGACTTCATAGCTAGATGTTGACTCTGAACTTGACACTTTCCTCCCCATCCCTGAGGTAGCTGCAGCTTCTATGTAATTCCTGCTTTCCATCACCAGAACTCCTATTGCTCTTTGTAATCATCCAGGAGGCCGAGAACCAGGATGTGGTATTCATCTATCTATGTCCTGTCTGCTATGGTGTGAACATGGAACAATGGGTGCTGATCAATTGCTTATAAAGTCACTTTATTCACCACATGATTTAGGAAACACAGTGGCCCTAAATCAGTGCTTATGAAATGAATAAATTAATTAATGGTTAATTTTATTTGATTAAAATTTTCAATAAATTAATGAGTAAACAACCATATTTGACCACTATTGCTTTCATTTAATAAAATGTAGATAATTTAAAAATACAAAGAATAGCTTCCTAACTGGAAAGTTTGAAGAAATGTATATTCCAATTAAGCATCCTTTTTCTATGATCATTATTTTGTATTTTTAAGTTTAATCATTTTTAGGTTTATATTGATTGCCTATAATATATTAATAATATATGAATAAACAGATGAATATGAATAATATAGGAATAAAGCATCCCAGGAAAAAATAAATTTCATCTCCACATTTTCTTTAAACTTGACAAATTCACATCTTGGAGTACTCAGCATCAATAAAAGAGGGTTACAATATTGAAAATTTATTTTCTTATATAAACATTCATGAAGTTAATATTTAATTATGATAGCTTTTGAAATTCTATTTTTCAAAGAAAGACAGATTATTTTAGGAAAATTATGAAAATTAAAACCATGATTTTTTCACATATTTAAAAAAGTCGAAAGATTATTGGCAATACATACTGACATATTAATCAAATCTTGGATCATTTGTTTCAGAAATGTTGACATTGAAATGAAAGACAATGTGAAAAATTCTGTCACTAAATATTCTGAAAGTGAAACAAATCAGACTGAATTTCATCAACTTTTGGAGAGGTAAATACTTATATCCCAAATGCAAAGGTATTTTCCATTCAAATGCCTGAATGATTATGTGTAACACAGAATACAACATACATATATACCTACATAAGAAAATGGTTGTTCATATAATAATGCCAAAGTTTTTAATTGGTAAAATACATCAACTATGTGAGTTCATGATACCAATAGCAATTAATACATTTCCCCTCAAATTTCAAGGCAATTTCCCCTAGCTTCCGAACTACCAACTTTGTAAATATAAATTATTCCCATGTTTAAAAATATATTTTATACATTTATGGCACTTTTCTTTGGTTTATTTACCAAATTGAGGGCAGGCTAGTTAACTATTTTAAGTCAGTTTTTCTATGCCACTAACATATATCTCAATTGTGAAATGTTTTAATTTTTATTTTGGTCAATATTTTCCTACCAAAATAAATTATTCCCATAGAATTTGATAACTGTTCAAGGTAGAGCACCTGGTATAGACTTTTTTGCAGAATATGTCTTGTTGGATAGGAGGAGACAGTCTTACAGAATTTAAAAGAAATTAGGCTATCCTTTAATTATTTAATAATTCACACAAGACAATTTTGAGGATCTTATTTTATTGTTCTTGGTTCTTCCATTTACAAAGCCTAAGAAAGACCTAATAACATAACAGCCCATTTAAAAATAATAGATACAGAACGTTTTTGTTGATACCTAATGTTGCGGGAAACATGGGTTGTTGGAAAGACTGTTGGATTAAGAGTAAAGGGAATTCATTGTAATCTCAGCTTTGCCATTAACTGGCTGGAAAACTGCAGCAAAGCATTGCCTTTCTCAGTTTCATCTTCCTCTTTGTTAAACAGGATAGTTGAATGAAGAACTAAGAAGAAGGCAAGAAAGGATTTTGATTCTTTTCAGTATCTGTTGTATTCCTACCCTGTGCATCAACCAGGCTTAGGTATTCTGCAGGAGATATTTTTTAAGGGCAAGGCATTCCTTGCTCTCAGGAAACTCCTCATTTTGGGGGAAGAAGTTTGCTTATTGAAACAGTCAGAAAGGGAAGTTTTAATTGTACAGACATGGAAATGATCAAAAGAAGGAGAGACAGCCTCATGAGGGGTAGCTGTCAGGGAAGGCCACATGAAGAGAGAAAATGAGAGAGAAATAAAAATAGAAAGCAAGAAGATACAGAAAAAAGCACATACCAATAGCTTTTTGTACATTTTATTACTGCTTTAAGTAACTGGGACAATGTGGGCTCCTGGGGAGGGGGTCCTCACAAGTGGTTGGAGGAAGGCAGGCTCCGCCATTGCAGTGGTAGCTGTCCGCAGGCCGGGAGACGCAGCTCCTACCTTCTCCCCTGCCCTTTGCTCTCAGGGTGTCCTGGGTTGTATTGAAATAGAGTCTTAGGGACCAGCACCGTCTGATGCTCCTCTTCCACTCCAGTTTGAGATTGCAAAGTGAGAGATAAGACTCTGCTTCTCTGGATGCTGTAAATCCAAGCAGGCCCCGTGATTATCCATCTAGCTCCTCGTGTGAGAGTCAGAGGACTTGAGTCCTAGGGCCTTTGCCTGCTCACAACAGAGAAATCCTGGACTGCTTGCTCAGCGTCCCAGCCTATCTGCTCACTCTGTAGATCTAATATCTTATTATTCTATGATGATGGCCTCTTAGAAGGCCATCTAATACAGTAAAAGAAACAAAGAGTTTTAGATTTGAACTTTAGCTGTCCTGCTTATTAGTTATATAACCTTAGGCAAGGAACGTAATCTCCAGGCTCAGTGTCCTCATCAGTAAAATGGGCCTCTCAGAAATGAGAATTCAGTGAAAGAGGAGAGATGAAATGCTTGCCGTGTTTGGTCTACCTTACGATGTTGCTGATTTGTATGTGCCAGGAGCTTTAGGAATGCCACACGCTTAGCCTGTGAAATATCCCTATCAGTTAAGTGCTACTGTAGCTATCTTTTACTAATGGGGAAAATGAGGCTTAGAGAAGTGTAGTAACTTCTCCAAGGTTATACAGCCAGTACATGGGAGGACTAGAGTCTGAACCCAGGCAATCTGATTCCCACATTCCTGCTTAGGCACTTAGGAGGCATTTTTCCCTCTCCTCTTCCCATTTATATTGGCTGACATGTGCACTAGTTAGAGAAATACAGAAAAACAGCTTATTCCCAACCTCTCCAACCCACCTACACGAGCCAATCAAATCGAGCACTGTCAAAACTAGGGTTGGAAAACAGGAAGGAAAAAGATTCATTAATCACCTTCTGGTGTCCCGCTTGCTGCCCTAAAACAGGATGCTCCCTTAGTCCAAGCGTCCATCTAGGAAAGCCTGAGGGGGAGCAGAAATGATGATATCACTCCTCTTAGGTCAGGCTGGAACTGCTTGGCCCTGAAAAGATACTGATTTGGGGAAAGTAGAGGAATGAAGCTGGGTCTTCGGTTGGTACCCAAAGAGAATCGGGCCAGTCGGGCTCCATCCCCTCACAGGCCTTCCTGCTCCCATCCTGCCAACTCCTGCAGGTGTGAACCCAGCCCTCCTTGGTTCATCAGCTTCCAGACTTGCGACATAAGAAGCAGAAAGTTAGTTCCTACTGGCTTATTTCCTTCTAGACCTCTCAGAGAAATGGAGGCCTGATTATCTGCTCAATTGCTTTTTCCTGTCTAAATAAAATTGGGAAGTGTTCTTTGTACAGCCAAGTCTTCTTGATGAGCCTAATGTCACTTCTGATTCATTTGCTATAGACAATACGTTCTAATATAACGTATATTAGCGAGAACCTTTCACTTTCCTTCTTCCAATGGCAGCGACATCGAGACAGAATTCTTTAGAAAAGCACCATCGCTCTCCTTTAGCTCTACTTCCTCTTCCCCATAATTCCACCTCTTTACCTTAACCTAAGCTGGCTATAAAAATCCCAGCCTCTGCCACCTCCTGTCCATCTTTCACTTTTCTGACAGGTAACTTTCTAAAAAGCACATCTGATAACATCACATCTCTGCTCTAATACCTTCAACAACTTCCTGCTGTTTATGGGATAGAGGCCAAGTTCATTAATTTGGCCACCTAAATGCTTTCAGTCGGTTCCTATTTTCTTTTCCAACTTGGCTCCTCCTGTCCATACACTCAGCTCCAACCATAAAAACTTCTGTAGGTCTCAACCCTTCTTGATGAATGTCTATTCATCTGTCAAAGCCCAACCCAAATGCTCCTTCCGTAGACAAGGCTCCCCTGGGGGAATTCATCATTCTTCCCCTGTGTTCTCACAGGATCCTGGCCAGGTGCCTGTAACAGCGCCCACTACTTCAAAATACACTTCAGTTGCTGACCTGTCTCTCCCTGTGACTAGAGAGGCAGCTCCTCAGGAAACAGGGAAACTGATCCTTCATCTTGACATCCACAGGATTTTTTTCCCAGAGTTTCCTTGGGGAAAAAAAAATCACTGTTTAATGTTTAACCAAGCAAAAAATTCTTATTTCAGAGGAAGTTAAAGGGCTATAAAGATCACTTCTGTAGAAGGGAGATGAGGAACTGCTTGGTGATGAGTGTGATTTTGGAGGCTTTGGAGAAAGGGTAGAACTAAGGAGGATGTTTTAGGTAAAAGGAAGAGCAAGAAAATAGGAAAACATGGAGCATATTGAGAAATAAGTCAATAATGATATGTCTACCTGTTTATTGATCATGTCTAGCACTATACTAAGCACTTTTTAAAAATTAACTGGTTATCTCCATAACAACCCTAGAAAGTAAGTAATTTTGGCCTAGAGAGTTTAAATAATGCCCATGTCCCGCACTTGGAAAGTGAGAATGAACTCCAAAGGATCTGATGCATTCCAGCCCCCAGCTCTTGATGCACAGGGCCCTGCAGACGGAACTGTCATTAATGATCCAGGCCCTCGATTTCTCTTACTTCTCTCTTCTCTGCTGGAAGCTTTCTGTATGCAAGGCCAATTTTTGTGTCTCCTGTTACAGGTGTACTGAAATTTTAAATTTACCTTCTGCAGCTCGGAGACTGTTCAGTGAAAAGGGGAAGGAAATCTTTACTCTAAAAGACCTTCAAAGAGATGAACTGGTAAACACATGAATGAGAAACTGGGAACATTAATATATGAGTAATGTTAAAAATGTTTTAACATATCAGACTTCAAACACTTACCCTCTTTCCCCTTCCATGTTTTCTTAGAACTATCCTAACTCAGCCACCATCAGAGAGTGACAATAATAGCTAATTGTCGGGAGCTCACTGTGTGTCAGGCGTGACTTTCAGGGCCACATATGAATCGACTCATATAATGCTCGCCACACCCCTAGGAAATGGAGGCTCTCATTCTGCAAATGAAGGAGGACACCAGAGAAGGCCAAATTATTAACCATTTGTGATTTCTATCCCACCTTGAAGGCAATAGATGCTCCTCTCTTTTCAAGGCCTTCAAAATGTAGTTGTTTAGTGATTTACTACTTAGTGATAATGTCACCTTTTCAGACAAAAAAGTTATATCTAGTTTTTCACACACTCTATTTGGGTAGCTGGAGAGGGCTGAGAGGGACATTAGCAGCCCAGTCCTTTCTCCCATTTATAAAATTGCAGGTATCATATTTGAAAAAAAAAAAACCTGCCTTGACTCATGCCTGAAATTCTTTGAACAGAGAACCAAGCTCCCACAATGTTATCAGAACTCAGTTCAGGCTCTGAATGTGAAGATCTCTTGAGAATCTCAAACTGAAGTTATCAATGACTAGTATCAGAGGCAACATAACGGAGTGGAGGAGTCTATTGTGCTTGGAGACTGGCAGATCTCGTTTTGAATTCTAATGCTATGTATGTAATTTGATGCAGTGCTCCTCAACGGTGTTAGTTCAGAAAGAATTTAGGGCAGACAATTTAAAGACGAAGGGATGAGGCCACCAGGGCAAAGGATGTATGAATGTAGAAGGATCAGATGGAGCCAGGAGTGACTTATAAGATCCCGCATTTCTGCTAGAAATTAACCTGTCACTGCTTCATGAACAGTTCCACTACTGAGTATGTCCATAAGAGTAGAGAAATCTGTTGTTCAAACAGAAAAAGTTAAGAAACTTTTTCCTGTGTCCTCATATGAAGTATGTGTATAATGATCAGTGAGTGGCTTCAAAAGGCAACCTTTTTTCTATTATTGACTTACTTTTCTTACGTACTTTTCTCTTATTTTTCTCTCATTAGAGAACTATCTTTGCATTTTTTCTTACTACAAATAAATAATGTATTTATTTAAGGACATTTGTGAAATATAAGTAAGCAAAACAAAGAAGAGAAAGTATCACCCATAATCTCAGTATTTAGAAATACTGGCATTAACATTTTGGTGCATATACTTTAAGTTCATTTATACCACTGGTTGTCAAACTTTTTCTGTAAAAGGTCAGATAGTAAATATTTACAGACCATATGGTGTTTATGGAATCTCTGCTACTATAGCCCAAATGCAGTCACAGACAACATGTAAATGAATGAATATAACTGTGTTCCAATAAAACTTTATTTAAAAACAGGCAGCAGGCCAGATTTTGGTCTCAGTCATAGTTCGTACACTTGTCTTACACCTACGTACCTTTCCTGCTTCCTTCCCTTCCTGCTTCCCTCCCTCCTTCCTTTCTTCCTAACTTCCTTCTTTACTTTTTCTCTTTCCTTTAAAAAATTATTTTAAAACACTTTTTATTTTGAAATAATTACAGATTCACAAGAAGTTGCAAAGATAATATGGAGAAGTACTTTTTTCACACAAAACTTTTGAGATCCATCGAAGTTGTTGCATTTATCAATAGTGCATGTCTTTAATTACTGAGTATTATTCCATGGTGCCACAGTTTAATTGTTCACCTGCTGTAGGAAGTTTTGATTGTTTTCAGCCTTGGCTATTATAAATAATGCTGTTGTGAACCATTGTTTATGGGATCAGAGGCTCATTGTTTTGATAGGTGTATGTTTCATGTGGAGAACATTGGATCAACCCTGACATGTCTATTGCTCATCAAAAGAAACAAATCTTCCTGAGGAACTTAGCATCAGATATTTCTAAAATTCAAACCTTCTGCAGTACACATAAGATAGAGGGTAAGCATCGTAATTATTTACCTTAATATATACAGCCAAAATAAAATACTTGATGATATTGCTCTTCTTTAAAAAAAAATTGTTCGCTTCAACAGGTCATATTTCATTCCCGCATCTTGCTGTTTAGCCCTTTGGAATAATTTTTGTATTTAACAGAGCTGCATATTTTAATTTACACTACATGTTGGTTGTGCAAAGAAAACATAATCTATTTTGCCTTTAACAAATTAGGTCTTCTTTGTGCAACCCATTCACCTCCATCAAGGAACCACAAGTGTGCAGTTAGGTTTAAATTTTACCCCATACATTAAGTAGTTCTTTTGTAGGGGGCAGAGGGGGCTTTCGGATTTGCCAGCTTCCAGTCTCAATTTAGTTCCCCTCTAGGATGGAAGGAAGGCACTTGGGGTGCAGGTCCTCCTGCTTTCTAGGCCCTGCTGGCTGAAGTCCGTGGCTGGGCGATGTGTTCCATTCTTTCGGCGCAGTCAGTGCTTTGGGTGGGCGCTGCTTCCTGCCTGCCCCAGCCGCTCCTCTTGTCCCCCTGGCCCTCTGAAGCCTGCTTGCTGCTGGGTAGCCATCTCTGCAAGCCTTAGCTACAGGACCCTTTGACCTTTGTTTGGCAACCTCTTCTGGAAAGCGTCCCAGTATGGCTCTCAGCAAGTCCTGGGTCATGACAGCACCTCCCAGAAAACACTTCCAGGTTCAGACTTTAGTGGCACATGGAGGACTAATTGAAAGGTGACTCGTGACTGTGTCCTGAAAATGAGCAGTGTCAAGTGTTTCACTGGTGTAGCGAACATACCCAAAGCGAAGCTTGTAGGGGAAACCATGACACCCATACTGGGTTTCTGCCTTCCTCTGTCCTCTGCCTCACATCCTCTCAGACCCAGATATGGTGGGTTTTCTCCAGGTCAACCCTGAGAATGGGGTAAACCTTTGATACGCTAAATAGGAGCTAAAGGCATCTGTAAAGATCCCAAATTATGGCACTGCCACCCTGAAATGCCCGGCCATCGTCTTAAGCTCTGCTTGAAAGTCTTAACTACCTCCATACTTTTGCTTTCCTTTTGTGACATTTCTCTCTCTTCATGGCCTTCCTCTTTTCCTTAAGGCTGCCTCAGGCACCAGGACAAAAGGCCTATATATAGAATGGCAAAAAAGGGGAGAAATTATTAGTATAATTTAGAACCTTACCCTGTCGCATATATTGAACACTGTTCATTAAACTTTGCAGGTGTCTTTCAAAGCACTGGGGACTGTCACTGAGGAGTTTGGGATTCCAGAGAATGATTTAGAGACATACATCTAAATAATGTGGCCCATTTAAGTAGTTAGGATTTACAATAACTTCCTTATTATTGGAAAAACTTAGTATTTTTGACTAAGAATATCGAGAGGAAAGAATCTATAAAATTAAGTGAAATCTAATGTATTAATTTTAAAAGCAAACTATCAGTTTCTCTTAGATTGTTTTCTTATACCGAATAGATGAGAATGTTCTGCATTTTCATTTCAGCATGTGCTTTCAGATTCCTCGCCCTCTGCAATTCCAACTAATCTGACCTTGCAATTTGTGCATTTCTGCTCAGCTCTTGTTTTAGAAGTCCAAAGTGACATTGCGTCTGGAGCCAAGCTTGCTGTGTGTAAACCTGCAGCAACTTTTGAAGAAGAGAAGCAAATTATAGAACCAGAGGAAAAGCAAACGCAAAAAAATGCTTTAACAACGGAAAGTGCTTCCAGTAAAATTCTGTAAGTAATCAGAGTAGCCAGAAAAGCTACCTGCCTAGTATTTAAACTCAGCTCATTAGCTTGATTAACAGCACAGAGCCCATGCAGGGGACTCAGGCCAAGTTTGTGAAACGGATGTCAGGAGAAGGGCTGGTATTTGATTAGTTTCCTGGAATAAGGACAGAGCCAGAGCTTCACTGTTCAACCATCACAACCATCCACTTTCAGTGATTTTGTTATAATGTTTCTATTTTTTAAAGACCAGACTCTTAGAATTGCAGACATTTACTTGAAGAATATATCATGGTTTGTTTTCATAAATGAGGGCTTCAGAAATGCTTCTTCCCTAATGCAGTTTCAATTTGGTACATGTTAATATCAAGCTATCATCCTGAATCTCTGAAATAGCTTTCTGATTGACCTTGATCTCCGTAATCTACTTCTTCCAATTCACCTGAAGTTCCGTCTATGGACAATGATTTTTCTAAAACACAATCCTTTTTATATAGTTCTTTAATGGCTACCTGTTCAGACAGAAAAAAAATATTTAGTCTGGAATCCCGAGCCTTTCTGACCTTGGTCCAGGCCTGGTGGTGACCCTCATTTGTCTCCTCAGGCCTGCCTCCAGTCTGTATTTTTTTCTTCCTGCCATGAGAGCCCCGCCCTCCAGCTCAGCAGCTACACGCTGTCACCTGAATGTGGCATGCTCCATTTATGCTCAATGGGCAGGCCGCTGAGCCATGTATTCTGGTCCCTCCACCTGAAGTGCCTTCATTCGCCCCTTCCCCATCTGTGGAGTGATTTTCCGTCATTGAAATCAGCCATGGCAATGATCATAGGCAGCGGCGTTCCACCCCGCTTGCCATGCAAACCAGCGCCAACCCGGGGCTTCCGTGAGGGCAGACACTCTGCCACGCCTTCTGAGAAGAGCAGCATAACTGACCTCCACCATTATTTACTGAATACATAAATGATTGGGTTTTCAAATGATGAAACCCCAAATAGCTGATCCATTGCCATTGCAATACCTGTGAAAGTTAATTTGTGTATCATTGTTATAAACTGTTTCAAAGACTATTTCTATTCTTAATTATAAGAATATCAACTTTTATTTTAGGAATCCAATCTCACCTTTTGATGAGTCGCTCATTTGGTCCTAGTCCTGACACTAACAGAGGCTCCAGAAGGCTGTTTTCAGAGAGAATGATTTGACCTAGATGGTATCTTCCTCCTCTGTGAGGAAATTGACCACAAACTTCCCCGACACTCCCTTTCATTCTTCTTAAAAAATAAAAAGTACCTTCTACTCTCTGAGTTATTAGACAGCACTTGGAAAAAATAAATGGAAACTAAGAAAAAAATAAAGAACATCTTTGAGAGCAAAGATTCACAGTGTCTCATTCATAGATTCCATCAAGGCTCGGAGGCCTGGAGGTAAAAATGATTGAGTCCATTCAAAACATGGCCCAGGAATCTCCCGCACATGCCAGGCAGGCCCTGTTGATACAGTCTCTCCCTGGATACTCCTAGTAACAGGGAGATCAGTGTTTCACAAGGCAGCCCACGTTAATGTTGAAGTAATTATTTACAACATCTCCATCCTACAGTTTCATCCGTATCTCTGTACAATGGTCTATTCCTCTTCTACTTAGAAGCCTTTAAAATATTTAAAGCTTACCAGCATTAGCCTACTGGGTTATCTCTTTTCTAGACTGTCATTAGTTCTTTGAGCCATTTCTGATGACTTGATTCTAAATTATCTTACATTAGAAAGCCACTGTAAGGTTGCCCTAGACTTTCTTAGATACGCTGGTTGGGCAGTTTTCACATTTGGGAAGTAGGATGACTTAAGAAGCAATATCTGAAAAGCAAGAGAATAGAACATAAATCTGGAAGGAACCCTTTGGACAGCTGTTCTATGTATGGATTTCTGGTTTTAAAAAAGGTGAGAAGCACAATGGAAAAGGAACTCTGGGAGCACCAACCTCTGCTTGGCTGCCTCATGGAAGAAGTGGCTTTCAGAGCAGGGCACTTTGGGGTTGGGGTGGGGAACTTTCTCTTTTCCTCCCTGAATTACAGGCAGGCCCTGCCCACCTCTTAAGCTCCCCCTCCTACAATCTCTCTCCTCGCACACTGCCTGCCTGTCACACCAGTGTCCGTTCCTCAGATGAGACAAACAGACTCTTGCTTCAGAGCCTTCCCACCTGTTCTTTTCCCTGCCTGGAATGCCCCCCGTCCAGATCCTCGCATGCCTGTCCCTTCCTGTTGTCCAGGTCTCAGCGCCAGCACTGTCTCTCCGAAGAGCCTATTCTGGTACCGTTACTAAAGTAGACCCCACCCCAGCCAACTGTATCACAATATTCTGTTTTATTCCACTAAGGCACTTACCTTGTTTATTTATTCACTTACTTATCTCTCTTCTTTCCACTATAATGTAAGATCCGTGAACCCAGGGTTGTTAATCGCTGTATTCTGACACTTAGAATTCTGCCTTTATCATGTAGTAGATGTTCAATAAATATTAGTTAAATAAATGAATACCTAACTAATGAATAGTTACTTTTATGGATGAATAAATAAATGAATGAATCAAGCAAGATGGATTTTTTTAAATGGCTGTTTTAAAATCGGCTGGACTGTGCTTCATTTGCCTGGAAATCCAAGAGCGTATGGATAAGTTCCAAGTTAGAGAATGAAACATCTGGATTTGGAGGAAGAATATTGTTTACATATGCTAACTATGTTAAAACTAAAAAATGACTTCTACCCCCTCTCTTTTCCTCATAGAATTAGTGGGAAAGCTGTGTGTGTGTGTGTGTGTGTGTGTGTGTGTGTGTGTGTGTGTGTGTGTGTGTGTGTTTAATTTTCAACACAAGATGGCACTGTTGTTTTTTTAAGAGCTACTGAGATTTTTTATTTGAGAAACCGTTTGTGCTGGAGTTCTGAGTAAGGCCGTGGTTACCCACCAATTTCATATCCACATGTAATACTTTTGTTACATTGGCAAAGTGTATGGTCTGCTCTGCTAACACAGGAATTGTCCCTGAAGATTTGGGTAATTTGATATTGCTTACAGTTACATCAAATTACCGCCAGACCTTGGTGATCACAGCCTCCCCCAGAGAACCTGATTTACACACACGCATATTTGGAGTGCTGAAACACGCTTGCTGCTTTGCCTGGCTATTCAACCTGCCGTCAGCCAAGCAGTTCTTATATCGTGTCGTGATCCTACAGAAGGCAAAAGCGCCCTGAACTGTGGCCTGGAACTTGATGCTTGTATGCAGATCTGTGTGGTGACTGTGCTTCTGTGCACATTTTCTTCTTAGTAAGTCGGAAGACTGGTGAAGTTATTCAAATGCAGACCATTTACTCAAAGTGTTTTAGTACATTATTCTCTATCAAAAGCTGGCACCTATGTGCCAATGCTGTTTGAGTCTCCCTAGATTTCTTTATGGAGAGGAAAAGTTAATTAAGACTCCTTTAACACTGTCTAGTGCATAAACTTTATGAAGCCCAGTAATCTGGGCTGTACTGTTCCAGAAAGAAGTATGACCCACTTATGAAATAGATACAGGGAGTCTTGTTACATGTTCATTGTGAATTTCTTCAACTACTGAGTAGTCTTACCATTTTTAAAATATAATACATGGCTCCATTTTTTTATAAGTGATTCTAACAAAGATGCACGTTGTTTATTATGTGATTGAAGAATTTTATATGTGATTTTATATTAAAAGATCTAAATTATGTATTAGTAGGATATGGATCTGCAATGTTAGGTGCCATGATGGAAATGCAATTCACAGATCTGCCAATATCCTTCCGGATGTGATCAGACTATACCTCAGAGAAAATTCTGTGAGCAAAAGTCAGAATTCTTAGATTTATTTTTGTTTCTGAACCTTGGTAGAGATGCACATGCGAGAGCCCATCTCCGAATGAAGGCCTGTCACGTGCCTCTCAGGTACGCCTGGCAGGAAACTTCTAACCTTGATGAAGGTGACAGTTCTCCAAAGAAAATGGAGGGGCAGCTCTTTGAAAATGCGGAATCGCAGAGGAAATCCAGGTAAAAAGTTGCAGCGAATTCCAACTAGAGATTTCTAGTTGGTCTTAGATTTTCTCACTTTGGATTTAAATTACTGTTCACTGCAATTTACATCAACATATGCATTTTTTGTCTTTCTTATGTTTTTGACTGAAGTATTTGCAAGTATTGATGGGTAAATTCTCACTTTAGCTATGTAGTGTAATTTCTTGTTTGCTGGTGTATCTTTTCTGTTAAAGCTAATCTATCTTTGCCTCCTGAGAATTTAGCACAGAGCTTATATATTTGTTGAATAAGTGTGTGAATGAACTTATGAATAAACATGTAACATGCCCTGATGTCTTCAAGAAATTAGTAAAATGTGATTTCTTTATTTTATTTTATTTTTTTCTAGTCAATGTCCAAAAAAATGACAGGAATCTATAGTGCTTTGTGTTGTTCTGTAATCTTTAAATATTTGCTTAATATCACAGCAGCCTCTCTGTATTAAACAGTTTTGGTACTTCAAACTTTAGCATTAATCTATGCACATAGTAGGGGCTTAATAGGTGTTTATAAATCAACTTAATTGCCAATGTATTGTGATGTTTAGAATGTTTAATGAGCTTGCTTAATCCCTGGAGATCCTTATTAAGAGCTTCCTTTAAGTTAACTTATTAGTGATTATTTTCTATTATGATATTGAGTTGTTGGGGAAAATTGACAAACTTGGATAATAATATTCTATGTGCCACATATTCTGTAGATAGAAGAGAGAAACAATAATGGTTTAAACAGAATTCCTTTATATTTCTTGGTTTTGATTCTACAATACATGTTCCCTCTATTCCAACTTCTTTTTTCTTTTTGAGTAAATTATCTCTTCAACTTTTTTCTTTGCTGATGAGTTTCTTGTGTTCTCTTGGATAAACATTTATTTATGTTACAAAAGAAACTCAGAATTCTACTTTTTGCATCAGCTTGGCAGTGCAAACAGCATTGCTGCTGTGCCAACGATAACGACTCACCATTACAAGTGAACCTGGTCTCCGTCATGATGGGTCTCTGTCAACAGAACTTGTGCTCTCCGGTGCACCAAGTGCACGGGACATTTTTCTGCACCTAATGGGATTTTTCTCTGTCTCAGCCATTCTCCAAAGCAGAGTAAATTGCAGAAGCTTTGCCGCCAGCAGTTTGAATACAGAGATGGGCAAATTATAAGCTATGCCTCTCCTCAGCTAGTCTTGGGTGTGCAAGGTCCCAACCTGCATTCAGGTATGGAAGTGGTTTTGGTGGAGAAAAAAGCCAATGACAGTCATCAACGCTGGATGCACAAGGAAGATAGCAGGTGAACCCATTATGTTTGGGGCTTAAGATATGAAAAAAATGAATGGGAATTTAAGAGATTTGGCATGGTATCCACAGAGCAGGCTGGTGTGTATTTGAGGACTTTGGATTTTCAGTTTAACATAGTCAATATTTTCTTTTCCCTACTCAAGGAAGAGAAAGAGAGCGAGGGCAAATATAATGCTCAGTAGTCTACATGCAAGTTATCTGCTATTGATTCAGATAAGAAATGTGAAAGCTGACTTGCTGAGTTTATAGTTTTAACTGGCCATTGAGGTCAAGAGAAAACTGGACTCTCACCTCATTCTATTTTTATGATTTGAAAGGATCAAGTAAGAATTCTAAAAAGTCCTCATTTTTAAAAATTTGCTTTTCATACCTCAGCCTCCTGCCTCTCCCCACATGCATGCCTTCCCTTCCCTCCTTCCATCATATAACCAAACTGACGCGGCTTCCGTTCACACAGTGAAAACAAATTCCTACATTTACAAATATATCAACCCAGTCTAATGGGTGGCCCTTGCTTGAATCCAGATTCAAGCCAGCCACTGTCAAATGCTTATTTCTGAGACAATCAGAGGAAATTTAAAGTAGTCTCAGTACCATATATATAAAGGAAGTCTCGTTCATTTTATTGAGGGTAATAATGGTTTGCTGGTTATGTTAAAAAAAAAGTGCTTATCACTTGAATATATATATAGTATTTGTAGAAAAATTAAGAGGTATCTCAGATTTGCTTTAAAATAATCCAGCAAAAGCAAAAAATGTTAAAGTTGGGAGGGGAATGGATGAAACAAGAATGGCAGAGTGTTGATAGCTGTTGGGTCCTTGGTGGTTTCTTCTACATTTTTCTCTGTTTTTGTGAATGTTTGAACATTTCCTCAACAAGAAAGAAAATAACCTCTTGGTTTTTAGATTGGTTTGCTTCAGATTCTACCATTAGTGTAATATGGTAGGTCTCTAGGGGCCTCTTCAATCTTTTGAAATGCTGTATAAAATTTGTGTTTGTGTATCTTTGCAATACATTTCTTTTTTTCTGGAAAGGAGCTGTGATTTTCATTGGTTTTTCAAAAGGTGTATAATAAAAAGGCTTAGGAATCGCTGCTTAGAGAGATTGCATAAGCTTCAGCAGGCGGCAGCAGCGGGCCTGGCGTGGGTGGGAAGGGAGCTAGCCTTCATCTGCTCACTGTCTGAGATGAGCAGAGCTGCCAGCAAGGAATACTTGCTGGGCTTGTTTTAGAGAAGGCCGAAAAGCCAACATGTAGACAGACCTGGTGAGTGTGTTCCTTGGCCTCTCTCATCCTAGCTAGCTGAGCCGTCTTTGTAGTGAGGAGCTAGGAAGCAAGCTTTTGCCCCTATGAGTGGCTTGCTATATGGGACCAGAATGCATTCATTCAGCTTTGTTTTAGGTGCTGGTGCTTTAGCAAAGAACAAAACAGGTAAATATTCCTGCCCCTGCGGAGCCAGTCTATTCACTCTCTACATTTCTAGACTTGAACAGTACATCTCACGGCCTCGGCTTTCTGTATTATTATAGAGATCATGCTGGAGCCCCAGTGGGGCTTCAACCATGGCTGATGAACTGGGGTGAACACACAGGGGGAATGAAAAGTGACCCCAAGGCAGGGGAAAGCCAAGCATGATGCATTTAACTCAGAAACACTTGATCGTTGGAAGAGAGGGCAGTTTTGGGGTCCTCCTGAGTGTCTGCCAATGGTTTTCTTTTTCATTGCCCTGAGTATCATGGAGAAGGCAGAAGGCGGGGATCGGGGGGGAGAGGACTATTTAAGTAAAAATGGAAAGCGAAGTTTGCCTAAAACTCGGAAACGTTGGACTATGACCAGCACTGTTTCAGGAAAAATCTATCCACATGTCACATAAAAAGGGAGAATGGTTTCTTCCAATCTCCTTCCGCTTTCCAAAACGTTCTGCAACACTGCCATCTCGCGGCCTCCCCATGCCAAGCTATAGGAGGGAAGGGCAGTTGGTGGGAGATGGTGGTATTGATTGATCCCTGGTCAGAAACTTCAGAGTCTGGAGAGAAGAGCTGGAGCAGTGACAGGGAGAGGGAGTGGGACGGGATTTGCTCATAAGCTTGTGGGTCACCAGCTAGAGACTCCCACGAACTCTTTGGCAGAGGTTTTCTAGAAGTCTTGATGGGTTGTGGGCGTGATTCAGAGGAACTTATGCCCTATGGCAGAAGTGTATGTGCGTAATGACAATAATTTTGAGCTTTCTTCCACATTTTCCCCTGGCATTTTGCTTTGTTTTCTTTTACGTAATTGGCTATTGAAACCCATTTGTTCCGATTGACTGGTGAGGCCTGGGGGACCTTGGATTGCACTGTGTAGCAGAACCTACAGTAAATTTGTTTGTAGCAACCACAGTCTTTTAATCCTCCTTATTTTTCCCAGGTAGTAAGTTTAGGGAGGCAAATGCCCATTCAGAATTTGTATTAGAGTGTAGGCACAGTAGCTCACTGCCAGCATCGTGGGAGGCACTAAGTGGCTATTGCTGTGCTGGGAATTGTCAACCTTTAGTCCTTTCATTAGGCCTTGCTGGGATGACACATTGTCTAGGCTGGGAGGGCAAGAAATGACCACGGGGTCACTGAAAGGCAGTAGAAAATTGCCAAAAACACACTCACTTGCTGTCCAGCCCCACAGAAGAATGGTCCAGATCAACTTTTGAGATAATCTGACATCTCTTTTCAACACTGACATAATCTGAATTAATAATTTGGTCTCTAGAGGGAGATACGAAAGAATACGAAGAAATCCTCAGGGATGAAAATCCCAACAGTACTCAAAGTTATAGAGGGGAAAATATGGCATCATGGAATATGGAGCTGAAAGCAATCTTAAAAATCTAGTCTTCGTTACATGATTCCAAAGCTACGTAAACTGAGGCTCAAGGAGATTAAGTGACTTGTGTGTACTCCTAGCACACACTAGGAGTTAATGGGAGAGGCAGTGGTATCACGCTGGCTGTTGCTGGTACATGGAATAATGTATCACTTCATTGTTTGGCACACGGCAGGGTTTATGTGGAAGTCTACAAGCTCAGGCTTCCTGTAGAATGCAAGCATTGTGCTGTGGGTGGGTGCCAGCTGACTGCGCTATTCAAAAAGGAAAAGCAAAAAACACCACCATGATGGCTGAGCATGGCACCGAAGCCTGTGGAAGTTGCTATGTTGAGTGTAGCTGTTCCAGTCAGCACAAACATAGAGAGAGCTGGGTAACTAATCTTGGCGTCTCAATAGGTCACTGCAGAAATATACACTCAGTTGTTCCTTTGAACAATATTGAGTGCCAATAAGAGCGCAAGGTGCAAAGTATGCAACATGCCGAGGCTGCAGAGAGGAACAACGTAGCATACCAGCTCTCTTGCCCTGTGCAGTCTTCATAAATGCAAAAGGTATTTGATAAAATTGAATACCCACTTTGGATTTAAAATGACATTCCATTAACTAACAATAGAAGGAAGAAATGCACTCTAAGGTTAATAGTGATTATCTTGGAGGAGTCAGAATAATGTTTAAACTTCCATTATAATTTTGCTGTATTTCCCAATACTTTGTAAATTCTTTACAATGAGGATATATTGCTTTATGTTCAGAGATTTAAATTAGATATCTGGAATTTTTTCAGTCTTGAAAGAAGAAATATATTACTTTTATAGCAGATCCTCTCCCAGCTACTCCCTTTCTCTCCACTCCCACATTATTAAATTTTATATTCAGAAGGACTTACGTATTCCACAGTAGGAATGCCACTGCTGGCCTGTAATGTAACTGTGTTCACAGATGTAAAGAATTGATTGTCCTTCTCTATGTGGACAAAAGCTTTGAGTATTTGGTTTATTTTTGTGTTTACGTGACTCAAGGAAAAAAAGTGAGGGTTTTAGCTCCATAATTTTCATTTTGTTTTTCAGTCAAGGAGGCCTATGTTAGCTCCAATATAAAATCACATGACTATTCACTGTGTATCTTGGATTTTTAGGGAAAGCTCCTTTATAAAAAATATGGAGAGAAATCTATTTAAAAAAACCCTTACAACTATTGATAATAGTAGCTAATACTAAGCACTGTGTAACAGACAATATTCTATGAATTTTATGTGTGTTAACTCATTTAATTCCCACAATAGTATAGGAGATATGCTTCATTATCCCATTTTACTGATGAGGATACTGAGGCACAGTAGCCATAGAGCTACTGAAAGGCGGGCCCGGGACTCAGACTGAGGCATTGTGGCTCCAGATTCCACGCTCTTAATCACACTGACCATGCTCATAGCCATCAAATGGATGAGGAGCGTACGTCAGTCTGGGTACAACCTGCAGACAGAAATCATACAGTGATTTAAACAGGCACTTTAACATAATTATTAAACAATGATAAAAGGGTAATTATTGAATATTTAAAAAACACGTACATTCTGTATGATACCTAAGGCCGAGGGAGAGTGTGTAAGCAAGGACAGACTTGGACTAGGGCCCCTCCTCAAGGCTGGAATTCAAAACTCATTGGAAAAGATATGGTGGCAGCCCACTGGATGGCAAAGCTATCTGCTGGTTTGCCTGGCCAGACCTGGTCTTTGGTTGCTGGGCCAGCAGGAAGCAGCCTTCTGGAACATACATGGGGGTGCAGCTGGTTGCTGGGCACATGGACAAGGAGAGTGGGGGTACCAGTGTGGCAGAAGACCTGCGGTGTGCAGTATCTGTGTCAAGAGAGCCACAAGCAGACAATAACGAGGCTAGCTCAGGGCTGGGGAGGTGCTGAAGGACCACACATATCGGGCACCAGGCTGGGGAAGAGCCTCACTGGTTATCCCGCTCCCAACCACGGACGCTGTACAGCAGCCAGAAAGAGCGGGGGGGCCCCTTGCTGCTGCAGTGTTCCTCGGGCACGCTCTATGGGAAAGCGTAACAGCGTGCTTACTGTAGAAATGGCAGAAATGCTTGAACTCCCGCGCCATTATCACAGAGCACGTATGGAGACGAGAGGTAACACACTAATAAGTGGCACTGAGGGAGCTCTAAGCCGGTCGTGCTCCTTTGTAATGCACCTAATCCTGATTTCCCAAGGACCTTTCACTTGGTGAGGAACCCAGACCTTGTGCTGGCAGTGTCTATGACCAAGACAAGAAATGAAGTCTGTGGCTATCCAGTTATTGTTCAGGTAAGACATATATAGGCTAAGGAGTAATCATAGCCCTTTATTGAGTTAAATGCAAGCGAAGCTCTGTGCCTCCTTGTTGTGGAGAAAGAAATTGGATGTCATGGAATTCTATCTTGAATGCCATGGCTAAAATACTTACAATAGTCTGCTTAGATTTCAAATTGAGTATGTTCATGTAGCTCTTAATTTAGTTTAATCCAACAGATGGTGATTGTGGGCTTGCTGCATGTCAGAAGCTATGCTTGTTACTTAAATCAATTCCAATGGCAAGCATGAGCAATTGTCCCAAAAGCATTCATGTGGCTCACAGTTTCAATGGCGGGTGCAGTCAGTGGAATGGCTGTAGATGCACCACGTGTTTTAAGTTCAGTGATCAGAATGTATGCAAAGCCCCTTTCGTCTGGCAACTGGAAGCAAAGAACATGGTCAGAGGGGTCTTCCTGAAGGGTGTGAACTCAACAGTGTTAATTCTAAGTCATTTGAAATACATTTTTAGCATACTTTTGCAATACTTACAGCAGCCAAACAATTTTTGGAGACTCCAAAGAAGTCTGGCTTCGTTTGTGTTTTAGGCAAACCCCTAGGAGTTCTTTTTTCATGTTTGTCCATCATCCTCACTTATAACTAAGGACACTCCTAAATGTATATGGGCTTACGTGGTTTCTTTCCTTGTTAGGAGGAGAGAAAGCTTAGGAGCATCCCTGCATTGCATTTGCTTTCTGTATCCTCCACAATATTTACCATCTTTTTGTTGAACAGAATATATTGTCTCCAAGGAACATTTGTTTTATTCCATGTTTTTAATAGCAATGAGGCAACTTGCTTAGCAGGTCCTGAAGCCAAAATTGGGACATAGCAATCTGGACAAATATCAAAGCTTAATTAAGCCTTCTATCCTGATGATAAATATGGGCTTAAAATTTGTTCGAGGAGACACAGTATATATAGCATCACATTCTTCGCTGTCAGGTGCCTCTTTGGCAGTGAGATAAAAACCTCATGCAGATGCAAATTTAGTGCCTTAATCAGTTTCATAAAATTATAGATATGGATGTTTTCCCTTAAGGTTTCCATTTTATAAGAAATGAGTTTGGTCCCATGGTAATTTGTATTACCTTTCAAGATTTTTTGTTGTTCTTGCTGGTGTTTCATTTTTATTTCTTGAAGCAATCAGTTTGTGAGAAAATATTAAAGTTCATGTAAATTAATAAAAATGAGTCATGGTAGGTTAATGTTACTAGGCCCCCTCCCTCTTCCTTGAAATATAGTCTTTGTTTTCATATCTCTGAGGGATGTTCCATTGTCTGGCCTATTAAATCAATTCGTAAGGCTCATTTGTTTTCCCCTTTACTATCAATCTCTCCTTGGTAAAGTAAGTGTTATTCATTATGAAGTTCCTTCAGGTGTCATGATATGTTTAGTTGGAAACAACCTACTGGTTTAAATTCTCTTAAATTTAAACTACTTATTTCTTTACTAAAGCTTGAGCCAAGTTATATAATTTGAATAAATATTCTGCTTCTATTACATATAAAAGGAGAATTTTTTAAAATCCTCCTTGATAACCACTAAAATGTAAATTAAAATATCAACAAGGTATTACTTTTCATTTACTAAATGATGATTTAGTTGATGATGTTTTGTCAAGAATGTGAGGAAAAGAGGCCATTTCATATAGTATTGGTAGAAGTGTAAACTAAAATAGCCTTTCTAGAAAGTATTTGGATATATTAAAGCTTTATATGATATATCATAATATTTTAAAATGATTGTTTTTTTAAATTCACAATTCTACTCGAGGAGTTTGTTCTAAAGAAGTTATAGATTTACACAAAGGTTTATCTGTACAATTCTTCATTGCACTTTTGCTTATAGCAAGGACAATTTGAGAATCTACATTTTTCGTTTTTGGAGAATGGTAAAATAAATTATCCCTAAGATTAAGTAGTATATGTCCTTAAAAATATTTAAAAAAATATTCAAGGAATACTGTTAAGTAAAAACAAAAAACACAAATGTAATGCAGTTACCAAATTTATGTATTTTGTGATGTGACCCTATGACTAACCTTATAATCAAATCATAAACTCGCCCATTTGACTCCAGATTTTGTCTTTCTCTTTTTTAAAGAAATATAAACCCTATAACAATGGGACTTCCAATCAAAAGTGGAATTACATTGAACATACGAAAGCTTTTATGGCCTTTCATAGCACTGCACTGGATAAGGAAATCACAGCAGCAAATCATGCTGGAATTTGTACATCCTCTGTGGTTAAAGAAGAAAACATTGATCAACCAGTAAGTGGTTCCTTCCTACTGAGGATAAAAGAAAAAAAAATTTTAAATGGGGCACTTTGATAAAGCAAGAAATTATTTTTCCAGAAAATCTATGCAGCTGATTGTGAATGAAATCGCATGGACTTCTAGGATTCTGGTTAGGAAAGAATGAAGCAATATTCATATTGCTCTCTACTTACATTGTTTCAATGGCTCCCTATCGCCAGCACCGTCTTCAGTTCATCATCCATTCGCCAGAACAGCGTGAACGAGGACAGCCACACATGCCCCCCCACAGGAGTACCTGCCACACTAGCTGTCTCTCCACTCCAGAAAGCATACGAACATGCAAATGGGTGTAAATGACTTCAACTAAATTAAGTTATACCAAGCGTAGGCCTAAGTGTAAATATATTCTTAATTTGTAAAGGAAATAATTTCTCAAGTTTGTTCCATTAATTTTTTATTAGTAAGGAATTACTTGCACCATACTTTACAAATACCTGAGATACTGTGGGTCAGTGCGTGAAGCCACCCTGCTGTTGTTGATGACCACACTTGAAATCTCATGAAGCACCTATGAGACCCTCCAGCATCCTCTTTACTCAGCCCCTTAGAGTCTCCAAACTGCTGCTGCTTCTTCACTCAACATTCTCTAGCTCTACTGAATAAGAGATGTCCAAATGTACTGTGACATTTTGCATCTCTTGGTTGGGACTGCTCTATCCCCTGTGCCTCTTTCTGCTTTGTCTGTGAACTCATACCTGTTAGCAGATGCAATGTCAGACTGGTAAGGTTATCTTAAAACAAATCAAATCAACTTGAAAAGGCTCCCACTCTCCAAAGATGGACCATTTGAAGCATCAATATGCTAATGAGTTCAGTGCATAGACAGATATGCTTAAATCCATATGTTCATACTGATATTGAACATCATCAACAATAATTCACTGATCACAATTAAATGATGCTTTGAAACCAGTTCATTAAAAAAGTAGGAAATAAATAAATCAAATATTTATTTTTTTCCTTTATGAACTGTACCTCAGGATAACAAAATATTGGAGGAGAAGGTTTCACTTTTTAGAAATATCTCAGTCAATAAATGAATCAGCATACAATTCATCATGAACCCCTTGCTTTTCTATCTAAATGATTCTTCATGTAATATTCATTCAGTTCCATCTAAGAGGGGATATTTAATTTTCTGCCTTCCAGTAACTTGTAGAAAAATGGAAATCAGATGTGCATACAGAGAAACCCATAGTTAAATTTGAGAATTACATCTTTGCACATATCATCTACATGTTGGCTTTGAACTGAGATAGCTCTATGTACTTAAAGGGACTAGTTGAACCAAATGGAAAAGGCAAAAGAGCCAAGAGCTTGGAATCAGAAGTCACACTTTTGTATTTCAGCTCTGCCATGTTCTACTTGGCTATCCTTGGATAAAATCTTAATACTACATAACAGAAAGAAAGAAGGAACTCCTACCTTTTGTGACAGCATGGATGGAACTGGAAAGTATTATGCTAAGTGAAATAAGCCAGGCAGTGAAAGACAAATACCATTTGATCTCACCTATAAGAGAAACCTAATGAACAAAACAAACAAATTAGCAAAATAGAAACAGAGATATGGAAACAAGGAAGAGGCAGACAGGGACCAGAGGGGAAGGGAGAAGGGGATAAAGGAAGAAAGAAGGGGAAGGGTCTAATCAACGAACAAGTATAAAAGACCCGTGGATATGAACAGTAGAGCGGGGATTGACTGTGGGAGCGGCAGTGGGGGAGGGGCTGGGACAGGGGAGAGCAATGGGGGAAAGTTGGGACAACTGTAATAGAACAACAATGAAAAAAAACTTCCCTCTCTGAACTTTTGTTTTCTTTTATGTAAATTGAGAATGGTGTTATTAACTCTGACTGTACTTAACTTTTAGCCTTGTGAGGAGCAAAGCCAATTAGAGAGTCTATGTGAAAGTACTTTAAAATTTTATTATGAGAATTTCCATACATAGTCAGAAGTAGAGAGACTAGTACAATGATTTCTCACACACCTATCATCAAAATTCAACTATTATCAAGGTTTGGAAACATTTACAAACCCCCAGACATGATACCATTTTACCTCAAACTTAAGCATCCATCTCTGAAAAATTTGAACATTTTCTTACATAATCATTATGCCATTATCACATCTCACAGAACTAACAGTAACTCTTCAAATGCTTTGTTCATAATTATACTTCACAGGGTCTGCTAAAACATTCTTCTTATAGATCGTTGGTTTGAGAAGGTTCCTATGTGACATTTAGTTGCAGAATCTGGTCCTTTGTGATATAGAATGTCTCTATTTGGATTTCTCTGTTTCCTTCTTGTGGCATTCTTTAACCTGTCTTCCTAGGCTCTATATTCCTACAAAAGAAACTTAGCACTTAGAGTTGTAATTAGATTTATGTTCAGCTTTTTTTTTTTGACAAGAATCTTTATAAATTTTACTGCATTTTTCATAGTTATCACTTACATAGGCATACAATGTCTGGATTTTCCATTTTTAGTGATAACAGTTATCAATGGGTTCAGGTGATTACAACGTAATCCCACATTTAAAAAAATTTCCCAGTGACTTTCTTCTAGTGTCTGTCACCCTTTGGTGATCTTTGCCTAAATAAATTATTTCATTGGGAATTTCAAAAGGGTCAATGTTGTCTAATTCTATAGTTTTTCCCTGCATATATTACCTGAGCTTTTAATGTAAGGAAACTTACCTCTTCAATTTGGTATGTGAGTACCCAAAAGTATGGGTTGTAAGAGAAGGTAGGATAAATGTTTCGTTTTTTTCTATCTCACTTATCTCTTGTGGTATAACAAGTCACCTAAAAACTTAGTGGCTTTGTTCTGGCTGGTGTGGCCCAGTGGACTGAATGCCAGCCTGCGAACCAAAGGGTCTCAAAGGTTTGATTCCCAGTCAGAGCACCTGCCTGGGTTGCAGGCCAGCAGGGGGCATATAAGAGGCAACCACACATTGATGTATTTCTCTCTCTCTCCCTCCCTTCCCTTCTCTCTAAAAATAAATAAATAAAATCTTTAAAAAAAAAACTTAGTGGCTTAAACCGACAACCATTTCTTTGCTTTGTGGTTCAGCAACTTGGGGCTGGACTCAAGTGGGCTGTTCCGCTGGTCATTAATGCAGCAGTAGTCACTGGTGGTACTTGAGTTTGGTGGTTCTAATAGACTTCTTCCCTCATGCCTGGTGCTTGGCAGGCTGTTAGCTGGGGGCCTTGCTTCTCATCAAGGCTACTTGGGAAGGCTAGCTTAAGAGAGTTCACATTGACATGTCAGGGTTCTAGTTATAGCCAAAAGATAACAAGCTTCATGGGCAAGCACTTCTTATGTGTCTGCTTACTCACATTTGCTAATGCTACAGTGGCGCAGGCAAGTTGTATGACCTTGCCCAGATTCAGGGAAAGGAGAGAGAACCTCTATTTTTTGATTGGAGGAGCAGCAAAGTCACAGAAGGGCATGTAAACAAGGATGAGATCATTTTATTTCGGCCATCTTTGCAAACCAATTGCCACATTTTCTAATGGCTAAATTTCAGAGTTACAAGTTGGTGTTCATTTACTTCCAGTGGACCCAAATAAGTTGTGGTTTTGTTGTTTGCTAGGGTTTTTGGATGTTTTTACTTATATCTTTAGCATCATTTAGAACTCAAGGGATTTTTACATATTCAAATGTATTCTAAGTCTTTTGGTTTTCTTTCTTTTTTTTTTTTTTTGCTCCCAAATTGTCCCACTTTGGGCCAGTGGAGATCCTTCACGTTGACTCCTTTGTATTGTTGACATGACTGCTCTACTTTTAGATGGCTACTTTGCTTTCTGGGTACCACATGACATCTCTTGCTTATCTTGTGTATTTCTTGCTGCAAATATGGAAGTAGCCATTCCACCAAGAAACCCTGATTCTGGGCAAAAGTCATGCATGTGATGTTGAATTGCTATTGTCTCTAATATTTTTTAGTCAACAGAGTTTGGAAATATGTTTGTTTTTACACACACACACACACACACACACAGAGTCCTGAAAGTATCCATCCATGCACTGTGAAAAATAGAGACATTTGTTGAAGAAGACACAAGATACAAGAAACATTGTACATAGGAGAATGACACCTCAGTCCCCTTCAAAAGAGGCACTTTGAGGCCTCACACACTTCTCCCAGTCACCATCAGCTGCCGCATCTTATTTTCCTAAATCTCACCAATGGTCTAAAATCTCTTTCCTTTCAAAGGTGATTTAAGTTTTAGGAAAAGCCAGAAGTCACAGGGTGCCAAATCTGGGCTGTAGGGGAGCTGAGTCACCTAGGTGATTTGATGTTCTGCCAAAAAACTTTTCATGAGACGTTATGCACGAGCAGGTGCATTGTCATAATGAAGGGGCCAATCACCAGTTGCCCATAGCCACGGCCCTCTGAGTCATCTGAATAGTTTCCATGGAGAAACGTTCAAGCTTAATGCAAAATTTCATGCAGATATGTTGCTCTAGTCGTTCAGTCATTTTGAATGCAATAGCCACAGAGTACACATGTTCACTGAACAGTGTCTACCGCCCCCACTGACCAGTACAGTGAAGTTGTCATTGTTGAAGCATGTGCATTCCAGTCCACTCTCCTTGGCTGCTGTGTTATATTGATGTCATGATTTTCATTCTCATTACACTAACAATGGCTAGACTTTTTCCAGACTGATATATATATACAGGTATATATATAATATATATAAATTATATAAATCATATATATTTATAAATCATATACAATACAAATATATATAAGTATATATTTGTATTGTATATGATTTATATAATTTATTATTATGTTATATATAATTATAATATATAAATTATTAAGGAGCAAAATAATACATTCATGTTGAGATTTCTACTTTAGCATCCGGGGATTATAAAAATGCTTTATTTGTATTGTAAAGAGCTCTCCAAAAGTGCTTTTGTAATTTAGATGTGCCTATGTAAAAACATCTTTGTCCCTCTTTTTAGGGATACTATTATCTCACACCTGCTGGAAAGATTATGCTGTGCTTGGCATGCGGACGATCCATGAGAGCAGAGAAGGGACTGAAACAGTTGCTTCCAGGGCTGCCCTTCCTCTGTGCCTCGGGCTCCAAGACCCAGAAGCCCTTCTCTCGAGGGCCTTTCAAGGTCATCCATGTGGCCAAGGTGCGTAATGATCTGCGCTCTGCTGATACTTATGTGGCATCACGTTGGAAACTTCGATGCGTTCATTATCTGCCTGGCACTCAGGTTCATCTCCACTCATCCCATTCATCTTCCTCTGATGCACCTTTACCATTTCACCTGCATTGATTTCCTTTTTCCCATTGTAATTTAAAATACATTGTCTATTAATAGTTCGATACACTCTTTGAAGTTAATTGGGCGCTTCTGTGGCTTTAATCATCTACTGACACCTTCCACTGCTCCCTGTGTTGCTTTTAGAGGAGGAAGTAACGGCAAATCTTTACTTAGTAGTGCAGCTTTTCTGCTTATATCCACAGGGTAAACTCCTTTTTACTAGGAGGGAGCCCTTCAGGGAGAATTTGACATGTTGTTGTCAACGACTGTTCAGGTTGGGTTCCTGAATTCATGCATCCATGTCTAATTTTTTATAGCTTATGGAGAAAAAAAAAACTCTGCCTTTTCTGTGATCTTAATTTACAATGGCACCATTTAAAAAAATCCTTTCTTTCAAGTTTAGAAATGAGAAGAGCTAAGGGGACCTTACACAGCTGTATAAAAAGGAGCGATTCCTGAGAGGAGGGCAAACTTCCACTCTGCCCTTGTCTGCTCAGCAGGGCTTGCCCACCCCATTCCCAGATCGCTCTCTCTGGCCCCTCAACCTGATACACTCTGCAGGGGAGGATGGGGGATGGGACCGTAACAATTACAATAAACATCCGCTGAAACAATAACTGTGAAGGAGAAAAGAAGTCATTCCTCTGGGGAAGTCTGAGGCATTTGCCTTTGCTCCAGCGATAGTGGGGTGGTGTTGGGGAGGTGGCGGTGAGCAGATTGGAAAGAATCCCCCATGTCACAGCATCTCAGGTGGAGCTTTTCCCGTAGGGCAGCATCCTTCCTGTGCAGGGCTGGAAACGGGAAGGTGAAGTGTGGTGTTCACCACAGTCATCACCATATGGTTAGGGCCACACTCACCCCCTCCTCGTCCATCAGTATCTGCCACCAGAGGAGGGCATCGTCCTCAAGGTAAAGATGAAGAGAACATCTGTACTGCTGTTGTCCCTTCAAACCAGGCTCTCTCTGGCCCTGGCTTCCTTCCCCACCTCCTGTCACAGGAGAAGGCCAAGGAGAAAACAGGAGAAGGCCAGAAACGCAGCCAGGGCCTAAACCCTTCTGAAGACTCAGTGACAGCCTCCGAAGGGAACTGAGTTCTGATCCAGTGTCCTCCCCACTAGAGCATCTGATAGGTATAGCGTGTGAAGTGAACATTTCAAAATTTAGATGATGCACATATGCACATGTATGTATTTATCAAATTGAGAGAATGCAGTGTACCAGAATAACAAAACTGGAGGGGAGAAAAAGCTTGAGGAAACGAATGATTTTTTTTTTAATCAGGCTGATTTATCTTCTTATGAGGCTGAGAAAACTCTAAGTTATTATGAAGAACATCTATTATCTTTACGGATGAAGACCTGCACACAAGTTGTATCTCATAGTGGTATGGCAGCTACGCACCAGAAGACAGTGAAAATAATTGCATACAAAAATGGAGATGGGTATCGAAATGGGAAGTTAATTGTGGCTGAAACATTCCCCATGGTAAGTGGTTATCGCCTAAGCGTTTCTTGCCTTCTCGGAAGTAATGATAATGGTGATTCTTCTGACAAGACCAGGAGCGGTGGGATTGAGTGATAAATGTCCCTGGCCAGTTTCACCCATTTACACTGATAAACATCAAGAGCTCTGTTTGCTTAAATACATTCATTTTTATTGTATTTCTTTGGATATGGTCCTAGGAAAGTGAGAAATCAGAATATGGCTTTTAGGTTGGCTCCAGAGCAAAGATACATAAAAACAAGGGGAAAACAGAGCTACCTACCAGATTTTTTGCATTGTTGTGATAGGAAGCCTTTTTTTTTTTTTTTTGCCCTCCTTCCCATTCCAACTTCAAGCTGTATATCCTCTGAATATTTTAGGAGATGCCACCTCCTTACCTCATTTATCACTAGAGAATCTGAGCCATTATTTGTTGATAGGATGAAGCTGGGTTGTAGTAGGAGGAAATGTGTAGTTTCTGTCGTAGAGGGCTTGTAGTCACAGGAACTGAAGAGAGCCCCAAAGGCCCAAACCCAGCTTTGTCCTTCTCTCATTTGGCAGTTGTCTTGTCAATACCCTTAATGACATTAATTTACAAGTAACTGTGTTATACGCTATGGAGTTGCCCTAAAGACTCCCTTACAAATACATACAAACACAAACTCACCTCTTTGCTTGAATACAAATAGATTTTTTTAAATTAAGATATTGTTCAGTGGAATAAGCAAAGTACAAAAGTTAGCAACTCTAAGATTCATCCTGGGATCCACAGCTGGCTCTTCTGATCTTTGGCAAAATTGTTCTTTTAGGCCTGTTTTCCAATCTGCAAAATGGCAATAGTAGAATGGGTCAGCTTTTGGCTTGAAAATCAACTACTCATTTATTTTAAATCAATTTATCAAGATGGTTACAACTATTTTATACCTTACAAAGCCACAAAATTGAACGTGGATTTCTAGGTAGAGCATTTTTAAAGGAGGTACTCTGATGGTAAAATATATTAACGCACATCAGCTACTGTTTTAAATGTTTGGAGCCAAGACTTTTCACAGCCGGACTGGACTCATGTTGTGAGATTAGGTAGAACAATCTAATATCAAAAATTGGGTCTAATCAAAGATCAAATTGGTAGCTATTCAGCTTTCTGTGTTCTCCAATTAAAGGATTTTCTCGGATTTCCAAAATAACGCACTCTTTATGATTATTCCCAGCACTATCGCTGTTTCCTCTCGGCCCCTCACAGTGTGTGTTATCTAGCTTCTCACAGAATGCACGGAACAGCTTGGTCTCGCCCGGGCGGCCTCCAAAGTGTATACCAGAGATGGAACTGCAGTCCTTTCCTTGCGTGATTTGGTTTTATGGGCTCTAGAAGAATCTCTCATCCACAGAGACTCCAAAGAACAAAAGAAGGAGGTGGTCCCTGTTGGAGCAAAGGAGATGACTATTAAAAGTATGGGAGGCTGGTTACATTCTACAAGATTTAGCTGCTTCTGCTTATGTCTGGTCATAAAAAAGTTAAATGTGATTCTTTTACTCCATTGCCTCTTCTAGAATTACAGAATCACAGGAAGATATTCTCATATTAGATTCTCATATTGTTTTTACTTTGTAGAATCATAAGAAAATTTTAAAAAGAATGTACAACTGGTTTCAGCACCAAAGAATAAATAAATTGCCTGGAATTTATAAAGTATGTTTGAAAGCTTAGCTACTTTATGCAACTTGAGCAGATTTTGTTCTCAAATTCAGAACCCAAACCAACTGGAGACCACTTAAGAGAGTGGGGCTGGATCAATGCAAACGTTTCTGGTTACTTGTGAGAATAAAGCTCCATCCAGGAGCCCACCCAGAGCCCACCTCAGAACAAAAGGCACTCCGATCACCCAGGACATTCCAAAGGGCTGAGGAGCTCTGTCTCAGGAGCCAGGGTCAAAGACCTAATATTAAAACAGAAGATGCCCCTAGCGCACTTCTCACTTAGGAAACTGGGGGAATTTTAGGAGCTCTGTCCCAGGAACTAAGGGTAGGGACCAACATACAACATGAGTATATTTTCTGTTGTTTCACAATGATTTTGTTTTTCTTAATGAGTTTTTAAAAATAATTATGTAATTTGCCTTTATTTTTGGTATATCCAGGTCCTCTGAAACACTCTTTTTTTAAATTTTTATTTAAAAACCTGGTTTTCATGCAGTACTACCAAAAGGGTATGATCATCCCTTCTGCTCTGTTGAATATTCTGAAGGTTCCTCTTGATCAGGCAGGTTCATTAGCAGCTCTGCCCTTTACTGAATTGTGGTGTGGTGTTATGCCATCAGTTTGCATTGAGGAACTTTAAAGAAATAGGCATCTATCAGAAATAGCAATGTCCTTACAGGGGAGGCAGTGGTTAACGGCGTAGGTTCTGGAGGCACGTGGGTTGGATTCTAATCTTGTCTCTGCTCCCACCTAGCTATATGACTAAAGCTCAGTAACTTTTTCTGTAAAATAAGCATGAACCTAACTCAGAGTACTATTTTGAATATTACATGATATAATCTATGTAGATGTTTTGGTAAAATGCCCCGCATATAATAGATTCTCAGTCTACGTTAATTTCTGTTGTAGGGTACTATTTGCTATATCACAAATAGCTCTTTTATGAAGACCTTGGAATTGCTTCTCTCAGATCTCAGGACCAGAAGAGGGGTATCTTCTGAAGAATTTATCTCTCTGCGTGGGCCATGTGAATCTGGAAATTATGTTTTCCTCATTGCTTTGGCCACTAGGATGCTCAGAGCCCAAACTGTGCTTTTTCTCAAGCAAATAAAAACAGTGTGGTATTCATATCCACTCAATAATTAAAATATTATCTAGCATTTTTTGGATGCTTGCCCAATTAAACAGACCAAACACTAGTCTAAGTACTGTCTTTTCTTTTTTCTTTAATCATCCCAACAGCAGAATGAAATAGACACTATTATTCATTTATAAGATGAGAACACTGAAGCACATTATCTCTGCCTTTAGTCTATTCCTATACTCCTTTTCCCACTTCCTTGGTTTTCTAATCTCTTTATATTATCCCTTTTCAGAGTAGATACCTTGGTGAGCCACCTCAAATTTCCTTCAGAGCTAGTTGAAACCTAAGAAGGGAATCAAGATGCATATTTATAATCAGATTAGTTTAAATTCTGTCGCTGCTGTAAAGTTCTGACCAAATTTATGTATTGGCATCGGTTTTGGTTATTGCCTGTTTAAATCAAGCCATTAATGAAAAAATGAAACATTTTGAAAAAAAGTTAATGTAGGAAGCAAATTCAGTATTCATTGAAAAACGGTAAATGTTTTCTTTCCCAGAAAACCCAAGACTAAAGGTGAAAAACAAATCATTTCCAAAGTCTGTGACATTTGATAGTTTGGATGGTATAGATGAGTCTTTTTTTACCGTCATTCACAGAAATCCCATTGCCATCTGGGTATCTTGTGGTGAACCGTTTTTATCTCCGAATGGTAAGTTTTTTGTGTTTGCTTTCTTTCAAATGAGTATACAAAGGGAGAGAGAAGTAAATTTATAAGAAAATGAATTAAATGTGTATAATGTTCCCATAACACCGTAATTATGCAAGTAACAGGCAGTCCATTAGTTAACATGTGCACAAGGAGAACTGTACCCCTATATTTGCACAATTGCCCTTTTTTTTCTTACTGGAATAGAGTATTCTATGTGGAAAAATGTCTAATTTAGTTGATAAAGAGATCCTTGGTCTATAAAGACTGAGAATAATGGTGTACATTAGAAAATAACAAATGAGTTTAATTCACACTGAAGACGACCTGTCTGCACATTTTCATTTTTAAGAATTGCACCCTTTAGGCAGTAGGTGGATGTTTAAAAAATGAGTGGTTCCAAGCCAGGATTTCATCACCTCCAAATTGTTTGTAGAAGTGGAAAATGAAATATGGCTATTGCATATGGTAAATCTATATAATAAAACAGCACTGTTCTTCTTTTTCTCCCCCTGCATTCCATAAGAAAAAAAAAATGCCTTAAGCCCTGTCATCTTTCAAATGAGGTTTCTTTTAATGACCCTTACCTTTTAATTACTTGTTTCTAATTGAATCTATTTCTTGGAGCAGAAAGTTCTTTATAAATTATTGGCTTGCATGATAAATTACTGTTGATAAAAGAATGCAAGATAAAATATAATGTATTTTTATTACTCTAGCTTTGCAGAAGGCAGAAAAAGAAGAAAAACAGAACTGGCTGGAAAAGGACAAAATTTTGGCTGATTTAGACATCATGAAACACAAAATGAGACAGTTAAAAGGTCAGTATGAATTAAATCAAGTATCATCGTGTTTAATTCTAACTAGTTTTTTTTTTTAACCATTGGAAACCAGATGTTTAACTGAGTTATATATTCAATATGAATACATACAGTGTTACAAAAGTCAGTTGAGCAAGTCTAAAACCTAATATATCTTTTCAGCACTGATTTTATATTTACATGAATATCACACTTAAAATTAGGAAGTTGTCTGGATTATAGAAACACCCTATTGGTTTGAAACAATCCCTGAGCTGACATTGTATGGGCTTTGAAATTAATCCTTAAACAAAACTTGCTGGCATTCCTTGGATATTGCTATGGAAGAAGTTTTTAAAATAATCTGAGGGTGGACGTGCTAAATTCTTCAAAGATCATTGTCAGTTTCTCCGAAGAGCTCCCTCTTGTCATGCAGTGTTAAGATATGCTATTCCTAAAGTGATCAATTGGCAATTGATTTTCCATATTTTTTTTGTCACCGAATCTAAAGTTCCTGACCCAGCACTTCAGATACCAAATGGTTCTTTGGGGAGAAACAGTGCATTATGGGCTTTAGTCTTGGAAGAAATTCACTTCAGGCTATTTAAGTGCCATAGCAGGATTTCAGCCCCTGAGTATGTGAATCTTATTTCAATAAACAACCTAACTAGTCCTAAGTGCACTGAACAGAACTCTGAGTTAGATGACTATTACTCAGTTCTTACCAAAAGAATTGTTGAGTCTAAGAGAAAAGAATCTATGACTACAGCTAGAAAATTTTATGTGAGCAGGTCCAGAGCTCAAGTTATCACATCCTCTCATACCAGTGCCTCCTTCAGTTCCTCCAATAGTGGGCACACCACCATCCGCCCAGGTGTTCCACCTCAGAAACCTGGGAGTCATTATCCTAGGCCTCTCTCTCTCACTTTCTCCTTAAGTCTCGTTGCTGCGAATGTACTAAGTTCGGCTCAGTGAATTCTAACAGTCATGATTCCCCCAGTCGTTAGTCAAATTAAAGCTATTGTGACCTATTCTTTGGATTACCAAAACAGCTTTCTAACTGGTCTCCGTGCCTCCAGTCTCAACAACAGTTTCCATTCTATGCACAATGGTGATGTTCTGGAGCTGGACCAACCATGCAAAAATGCAAAGGTGTCACGGTACTCCAGGCATAAAACTGCCCATTCCAAAGCTCGCAATTATCTTTGGGACAAAGTTGAAACTCCTTAATGTGGCCCCTCGTGATCTGGTTCTCTGAGTGCTTCCGTCTTTCCTTGCGAACCATTACCTGATCATGTAACATGTGACTGTCTCTCCTATGTTATGTTATAAATGATATATTTTTCTTATTTGTTCTCTAAGTAATTTTAGAAAGATTGAATTAAAGAATGAATGAAATTTCAACCACTCACTGCAGTGAGTTTTTTCGCTCTACTCCTATATCAAGTTAAATCAATACAAGGTAACGTACTGAAAGAGCACCTGGCAGAGCTGCCTTGACTGAGTTCTGACTTTATATCAAGTCTTCAGCTTTTACTATAATTAAGTATTAAAAAGGCATTTAAAGTTCAGGTGGCATCATCTATAATATCACTTTTGAAGAGTCTATTTGGTCAGATGATGTCCATTATGGAGAAATCCACTGATGTAGTTTCTCTTAGAACTTAGCGCTAACATATATCTTGTCTCTTGACAGGCTGTTGTGTTTTTTGCTATTAAATGTAAATTCAATACATGCTTATAAAATACCTGCTCTGAGGAAAGAACTTTTCTAGTTTGGGGGATTATGAGGATAAATAAGGATGAGTCTAAGTCCAGTTAACTGTAGTCCCTGTTGGATTGTGAGCTTCTTCAGGACTGGGTGGAAGGTATGAATAGTGGCTGAAATGATTCTTTCCTATTGTTATAGCCATTGGTAAATGCAACAAATGTTTATTGAGCATATATTATGTACAAAGTACTGTGCTAAGCTGATTTCATATTTCATTTGTAAGCATGGCCATTGCTAATATTAATCATAATACTGATAATAACATTTTAGGGCTTTATGATTAAGTAACAAATGTCAGCTATGTACACCCTGCTTAGCACATAATAAATACTCAATAACTATTAGAATAGGGGTTCCTGAGAAAGCAGCCCATGTTCCCATTCGGGGTCTTTAACCCTGATAAATAAAAGTAAAGAATAGCACATTGGACCCAAGTATCACCTTTGTTATGAATAAAGACAATACTAGAGAACTTTATTTGGTGTGATAACAAAGTGGAGCTTCTAAATGACACCCCAAATAAGGTGGATGTACCCTTCCTGCTACAAATGACGCTAGACCAGGGAGGGCCTCCTAATAAGGGAGAGGTATGGGGAGAGCTGTCCAGGTTTTATAGACTGCAGTGTATACTCCGAGATTTACAGTCCAAAAGAACAGCAAAGCACTCATGTTTCCTAGCTTTCCCCACTAATAGTGGGCTGTTATCATTACTTTCCCCTGATTTCATGTGAAATAAAATAAGATATATAGAAAATGTAATAAGAAAATAAAAATAATTTATTCAATAAATTTTTGCTTGGTTTCAATAGTCTTACCTATGTAAATAATAGTTTGTTATGAAAACCATTCCCCAAACCAAAACCTTTTGTGATGACATTATGTCTCTTGATGAAAATTATAGTGAAAGCCATATTCTTAAGACCATTAGAAGCAAGCTGACAAAAAAAACCCCAACAAATTAATGCAAATGAGCTTTGCCCTTTCCTACATTCAAATCCTGGTTCTCAACAGTGCAAGTGATAAACTATTGCTGAACTCTCATTAACTAAACAAAATTTTAGTGTTCAAAATGCATTATAAATAAAATATTTATTGAAATATTATCCAATAAGAATGTGCACCATAAATTATTGTTGTCTGCACCTTATGAATAGAGTTCACTGAAAACTACATTTAGTGCATAAATTTCCGTCTTGTATTTTTCTGGTGCCTCTGTGTTTTCTCCAAAGCATGTTCTGTAATGGCACTGCCACTGTAACTCATTGGCTGACTGATTCAATTATGTTTTCTCCACATCCACACATTGCATATGAATGCTTATTAGGTACATAGAGTTTTGGTTTCTATGAAAAGTCATTGCTGCCACTTGTTTTTATTACTGGATCAATTTCCACAAATGAGCTGCAAGAGCACAAATGCTTTATCCTTTGCAAGTACTGAATTATTTTCAAAGAGTTTTGTTCCTCGTATTCTGAAAACCTACTCATTAGGAGTCCCTTGACAACACAATTAGGATTCAACTCCATTTTATTAATTTTACTATTATATCCACCTAAGTGTAACTTGCTCAAAGAAGCCTTCTCGGAGGCCTCAGACGAGGTCAGCAACTCCTGTTACATGCTTCTGTAGTCCCTGTACTTTCTTGGTGCAGCACCATTGCAATCGATTACTGTTGTAATCATTCCTGTAATCATTCTGCCTTTCCCATCAAAGTGTGAGCCTTTGAGGCAAGGACCTGGTCTCGAACATATTTGCATTTGCATCCTTTAGCACAATGCCTTACCCATAGCTGGTGCTCAGCATAGGTTTCTGGGAGGAACGTACAAGAAAAAGCATTATTTTTTACTTGGGAAATTTAGAGATCCGTGTGAGACTCAGTGCTGAGTATCTCTTCAATGCACAAAAATATCTTAGGTATGGCTTTTAAGCCTCTTGAATGATTGTAAGTGGTCTAGCTGAAAAAGCGCATACATTCAAATCACCAAACTTATTAAATTATGCCTGTGATTCTTTGGAATACAGTATTCCGATAAATATTTTTCTCTTACCACAGCTTTTTAACAGCCTAAAGGACACAGCAGAGGTGTCAGAAACTAATCGTGCTCACGGGGTATTATTAGAGAGGAAAAAAAAAGGCCTTCTGTCTCTTGGGTTAATATTATTTTAGAAATACTTAATCCCCAGGCTGCTAAGCTAATTGTGGGGGAAAGGCTTATTATTAGTGTAGAGAACAAAACATATGTTCCATGACTGGAAGAGATGATGGGCTATATAGGTCATGGATTCTATTTGACTAAATTACCGCTGAACCATATCGTGGCTGAGAGGCTTGGGCCAGCGTGGAAGCCAGCATGTTATCTTTCTTTTCCATCTGTACAGCGAGTATGCATATCCTGGCTGTTTAAAACTGCAAGCTCCCCAATGAAGAGGCATTGTTAGATATTATTACCTTAGGCATATTAACTTTTATGATATATTTAGTATTTTAGCCTATGCTCCCAAGTAGAATGATTTATACATAGAAAGCCAAACCAATTTATTTGAAACCTGAAAGCTCATCATCAGAAACAACATTTCCAGAGACTTCTTTCCCCAGGGCGGCGAGTGGCCGCACGGCAGCCGGCCACCATGGTTCCCAACAAAAACCCCGTGCGACCGGTGGTGCTGGAAGGAGGCTGGGCTGAGCAAACTCCAGAGGAAATTAAACTCATGGCACTTATAAGACAGACGGAGGTATGTTCTTTAGGACTCCAGACATTAAAGACTCTGCCTCTATTATAAGCTTTCAAAACCACAGGATTGCATTTTAAAATTATACTATTAATATGTTCTCAGCATCACGTCAGTTATGACCACATAGGCATATGCCAAGCCTGGAGTTGGCATTTGGAGAGTAGCTATCTAAAAGACATCCAGCTCATATGGAAGTCTGTTTTGTTTGAATGGAGACCAGGAATTATGACCTTAGCCAAGAAGAAAAAAGGCCCAGTGGATATGTACAAAGGTGATTATAATAAGTGTAGTCAAGTTGAGCCTTATGGCTTCATTGCTCATCACTCCTAAGGGTATGTCTCAATATGTAGAAAGAGCAAGGAGCAAAATACTAATTGCAATGGAGACATTCAGCAGTGAGGAACTCAAAATGCTGTTTCAGTCCAATTGCTTAATCAGTCAGGATTGCCAGACATAAAAAAGGCGAGAAGAGAAAGGTCAGCTGTTGAGAGAGGATTGGGGATAGAGATCTGGGAAAACTTTTTGCTTTGTGACGTTATCGTTAAAATGATATGTTCTTATTTAATAGAGTTTTTTAAATCATGAAATGTGCTCAGTCTAAATCTTAGGTGTGTGCCCAAGTCATGGTTACTAGAAAAAAGAAATTGACATTGCTAGAAATATGACTTCTTGCCCAATTAAGAAGGATAAATCACTGACCAGGGAATGAATGCAAAGCGTTGAACTAGGACCTGCCTGAAGCAGGATGAAAAGCTCTCTGGCAAAGACCTGGCAATGTGTAAGGGTGGCTGCTGTATTTTAAAAGACAGAGAGCAGGGACTTAAACAACAGTCCCGCACACTCCCTTAAGCATTTCTTGGTTAAAGGAAAAGATGTTGTAATTCTAATCAAAAACTAATTTCTTAGATGCAGACAAATTTCTTAGTCGGAAAAGCACCACGCAGAAGCCCAAAAACACATCTCTATTCATTACTTCAAATTGTAAATGAAAGCTAAATGCTTTGCCAAAATAAGTGCCTTATAATTATCACTGCACTGATTATTATTGCCTTCAGTGACTCATTGAAGCAGGGGAAATTTACGGAAAAGTCAGTGACAGGAGAGGGTAATGCATGTCCTAAAATTTTTTAAATGTAATTTACAATTCTGAGATTTCTGTCTTTCATTACATTCTTCACACACACTAGACAGACCTTACTCTAAACATGGCATTCTCTGGGTGTTTCCTGACAGGCACACCTTTCTGAAGTTCAAGAACAGCAATCCAAGAGAAGTTCTCCAAATGCAACTAAACATACAGCACTCAAGCAGAGTGGCCTGTACAAGCAACCCGATGCAAAACGAGTCTGGATTTATCTAAATGGATGCAGACCTGAGGATGGCACTTACGCCTGGGGCAAAACTATGTCAGAGGTAAACCTAGTGTGAAAAGAGAGGGTTTACCGGCCTGGGTTCAAATCCCAGTTCTGATATTTTTAGATGGTTAGGTCAGACAAATTAGTTTACTTCTCTAAATTAGTTTACCTTATTTTCTCAACTGTAAAATAGGAATAATACTTTCTTCACAGGATTGATTTGAGGATTAAATGAGTATATGTGAATGAAGATATGTAGTCCAGTGCTGTCTGATGTGTGTGTGAATCAGGCTATAACACTTGGCCAACAGAGGACAATGACAATTAAACCCACTGCAGCCTAAGAATAAAATCTAAACTTTGGAATAATTGAAAATAATTTCCTGTTATGTTTTAAACCCAGTTTACAAAAGAATGATTTTTTCCCCCCCATCAGGCATTATTCACTAGATATGTTCTCTGTAGAAAAATCAATATTCAGAGAGAACCTATCATAGTCTTACTACCCAGAGTCCCGGAACTATAGCAAGCTTTTCACTTTCTAAAGTTAAAATATCGACTAAGGAAAAGATGCGTAACCATTTATTTATTGCAATATCAAAGATATAAATTCTAAAGTTTGACATTTTGTCTTGGTCTTTAAAAAGCTTAGGGACCTAATAAATAGGTTTGGTAGACTTTTAAAAAGTCTTACCTGTTACCTTAAGATAAAAAGTCTTATCTAAACAATCGTTTGGCTTTTTTATTTTGTGAAATATTTTTTATAAATTGTGAGGGGACAAGAAGAAGTCACATAAAGATGTGATGTTGGCGGGAGAGAGAGGGAAAAACAAGATGGCGCAAGAGACTTGCAGGTTCACACAGGTTGATGAGGGCACTGAGGTGTTAGGGGCACCTCCCAAGGAGTTCTGCCTGAAGCCTGGTCCAGTTTCAAAGCTCCTCTTTGATAGGGACTTGGAATAAGAGCTCTGAAAGCAATCACACCTTAGAAGCTGACAACCACTTTGCTCTACTTGAGAAAGGAGATAAAAATATGGGAAATGTACTCAAAACTAGGAATACAAGTAAAGGCACTTGATACAGTAGAAAAAAAAGAAAGTGGTATGTTTTTTCATTGTTTGCTTCATTGAAAATCTCAGTTTGTATTGTAGATGCTAAATCTTAAAATGCATTGCAATTAGAACTATATATTAGTTAGGAAATTTGAAATGATTAATAAATAGGTCAAGGGTAGAAAAGGGGCTGTGGGGTTAAAGAGCCTATCGGACTCAGGACAGCAAGAACTTATGATAACTTACAAAAATGACGTGTATATGGTGGAGGAATGACTTTTTCACTTATATGACTCATATGTAGCATATAAAAGACACTTCATAAATATTAGTCCATGATCATGCAATTTTTTAGCAAACTTTGTTCATGAAGGGCACTGTGCTAGATGCTATAAGGTATTATTTAATTTATGTATGTGAAAAGATTTTGAAAACTTTATAGTGCAGTATAATTCATGGTTAATATCAATAATAGTGGTAGCAGTAATAGGGAAAAAATAATCCGTGGTCTATGCCTTCATTAAATTAATATTTCAAGTTGTCAAAGCATTGAAAATGTATCAAAGTTTACTTTGGTGTGTAGAGAAATAGGCACTCTCATGTTTATGGAAGTACAACTTTTTGTAGGACAACGTGCCTACATATTCATATTATAAGAAAATGCACTTCTCAACTTCTTCCCAGGGATATTTTCATGAATTTATGCAAGAATTGTTTAGTAAGAATATTTATCACAGAGCTGCTTATAATACAGGTAGATTAGAAATAATTTAAACACTTATAAATAGAAAGTTGGTTAAGTGAATTATAGTACATGGGATGAAATATTGTAATTCCAAATCAGCTTTCGAAAGAATAATGACAATAAAAATGTTTGATATATTAAGTGAAAAAAAAAAGCAAAATATAAAGCATACAAAGTTGAATTCTATGTACATGTATGCACACACCTAGAAAAAAAAGACTGGAAGAATTTTATTTTTGGAAGTATTTCCTGGATGGTCTTATTATTGGTGACCTCATAAAGGTGGTATTTCTTTCTTCTGTGTGTTTCTATATGTTATGTATGTTGTGATGAACAGAGATAGTCTTTGTAAGAAAAATGTGTTTGCTAAGGGTGCTAACATTCTTCTTGGAGAAGTACTAACAGCATGTGATGTAGTCAAATTAGCAGTGTAAGCAGAAGGTCAGTAGTTCAGAGGAGGTGAACACTGCCTACCCAAGGCGACAGAGAAAGGCTCCACAGACGAATCCATCAGGACTGCTGAGGGAACTTGAGAAATGGGTAAGATTCAACATGTTAGGCAGAAAAAGCATTAATGAGGATGAGGGGTACCACATCCAAAAATATGGGTGTTGGAGTTCATAAATCATATTAGGAGGATGATCCTTGAACTAACAAGTAGGGAGAGAGATATACAACTGGAGACATTGTTTAAAAGCATACGACGGAGTCCACATCCTATCTGAATTAGTCTACTTGGGCTGCCATAACAAAATACCACAGACTATGGGGGCTTAAACAAAAACGTATTTTTCATGATTCTGGAGGCTGAGAAGTCTAAGATAAGGTGCCAGCAGGGTTGGATCTGATGAGGCCTCTTTTTCCGGTTTGCAGACAGCCACCTTCTCCCTGCCATGTGTCCTCACATAGCCTTTCCTTCATGCATGCGTGGAGTGGGAGAAAGGAAAGGCTGTAGTCTCTTCTTCCTCCTGTAAGACCACAGTCCTCTTGGATTAGCACCCCACCCTTATGACCTCATTTAATCATAATTACCTCCCTAAAGGCACTTTCTCCACATAGAGTCATATTGAGTGTTAGGGCTTTGACTTATGAATTTGGGGGAAGGTGTCATTCAGTCCATGATACTATCCCAGACTTGAGGTCATCCCTGAATAAGGCAATGGCATTGAGAAAGCAATATTTTGGGCAGATTAATGTGGCCTCAGTGTGTGGAAAGATACTTAGGAAATGCTTACAAAGTTTTCTGCATGTAATTTCTTCCTTTGCTTTGTTAAAAAAAAAAAAAAGTTCTTGATTATCCCTTTCCTTTCCTTGTCCATGCCTTTTATTTTTCTTTTTTGGGACTGCCTCTGGTTCTTTTCGGTCAGTTATGAATGTACCATTTCAGGCGATCAGGCTGTAAAGAATACTTCTGGAGAGTGGACTTGTGTGTGAGACAGACAGGCAGCTGGAACAAAAGGTTCAGATTTCATTAAGGGAATCAGGCTATTGTCACCAATTCCAGAGAAGCAAAAAGTTTCAGTGGTCGGCACTTTCACAAGAAGAGAGGAACAGAACACATATCAAAGCGCTTCCCTCTCCTTTCTGTAATGAAACCCCCAGACAGTATTTGAATCCCATCTAATGCAGACTTTCCCTCAACTTCTTTCACTGCTGTAGCCATTGTGGATGATTTAACCACATCCTTCCTACCCACTCTTCGGACATTGCTAGAGCAACTCTCATCTGCAACTGCTGTAGGCTCATCTGTCATCAATGCACCAAGGTGGCTTCCTCACCAGATTAGTGGCTCTTTCCTCAGGGCCGACATCTTTCTTTGATTTATGATTGCCCAGGCCCCTCCTTCTATTGACCAGAAGCATTTGTCTTCGCCCATTCCTGTAACATCTCTTATCCTACAGAATTTCAAAATTAGTGTGTTCTCTCTCAGCCAGGAACAGTTCTGAATGTATGAGTGGAAGCTGAAAGAATGAAAAACAGGCCCCTTTGATTTGTAGACTCAACCTCATGCCCACAGGGAATATGCAATAGTTCCAGGATGCCCATGTGCCCCGCCCTGAGAAGCTGTGGTCTATGAAAATTGAACTCACGAAATAGACTTTGGAGGAGAAATGATGCATAGACTATTGTTCCTTTATTATGAGCTTTTGTCATTGCAAAAATTACAAACATTGAATTTATATTATCCACTTTAAAGATGAAATGAGTAAATTTAGATTCATCTGAAAAACTGAGAAGAATACCACTCAGGGGTCATAGCAGACTAGATATTTTAGAGTCTAATTCTACTGAAAATGCCTTATTTTCAAATATATTTTTAAGAGTTTTGTAAACTCACTAAGTTTGTCTCACATAAATAGATCTTTGTAAAAACCAAGTGAAATAGCAATATATTTAATTTGTATTTTGCATTTAGTATATGTTTTTATTAAATAATATTCATTTTTCTATGAATTAGAAGCATGATCTCTATAGAACAGTGACATTTTGGTGGTAGAGTGGGAGAAAATATAAGAATTACCTTTCTGTGGGATCTTTTCAAGCTAAACGAGTTTCTTCCAGAGATGTATCTATATGTATTTCTAGGACAGCTCCCAGCCAAGATAGAAGCTCAGATATCACACCCTTTGGTTGCATTAGAGCAGAAAATAAATTAATAACTTCTATGGATTGAACTGTGCCCCCCCCTCAAATTTTATGTTGAGGCCTTAATCCCCAATGTGACCAGGGCTTCTAGGTTAAATAATGTCTTAAGGTTGGGCCCCAATCTGATAGGATCTGTGGCTTTATTGCAAGAGAAAAAGAGAGAGATTTCTCTCTTCCCCCACCATGTGAGGACACAAGAAAGCAGCTGCCTGCAAGCCAGGAAGATAGCTATTACCAGAAATGGACTCAGCACCTCAGTCTTGGTCTTCTCCACCTCCAGAACTGTGAGAAGTAAGTGTCTGCTGCTTAAGACACTTGGCATATGGTATTTGTTTTGGGAGCCCACGAAGTCTAAGACAGTGACTATCGTTATGGAAAATTTAGAAGAATTACAAAAGGAAACCATATGAATCTATTGTAACTGAAGTTTTTGCTTCTTTGCATAATGTTCTGTTTTTAATTATACAACAGTGTATGGTCATTGTATTAAAATTAGAAAAAGAGAAAGTACCCAGAAGAAAATGAAAATTCTATCAAAAGCCACACATAACCATAGTTACTATAATTTTAATAGATATATTTCTGTGGTTTCTATACAGTTATAATTTTTTGTCATTGTGATCATAGTAGATCACAAGGTACATTCAATTTTGCAATCTGCCTTATTCACCTAAAAAACTACTGTAACTTTTTATCTATATAATTTAACATTAGTTTTTTTATTTTTATCTTTTAATTTTTTTATTGTTCAATTGCAGTTGACACCCTTTCCCCCCCATTACTCTCTACTGCCCTGCCCAGCCCACCCCTTTCTCCCACATTCAATCCCCACCCCCATTGTCCTTGTCCATGGGTCCTTCATACATGTTCCTTGACTTGAGCCTTCCCCTTCTAGTTAAAAGGCATCATTATCTTCTGTCAAACAGGTGGATTGTTATTTATTCACCCTGTTTTCTGTTGTTTGCCATTTAAGTTGTGTTTAAATTTTTACTATTATAAAGCATGCTCCAATTAACACATTTATATGTAAATCTTTACTTAATTTTCTAACTATTCCTCCCAAATAAATTTTTAGAAGGATTGCTAAGTCAAATTATATGAACATGCTTGAGAATTTTGATAGCTGGTGCCACATTATTTTCTAGAAAATTTCAGGAGTTTTTGCTCCCATAAGTAGTGAATGAGAGTCACCAAATACCTGTGGTATGCATGAATATCAACAATAGTAAGCACAGTTATTGAGAAACATGTATTTTCAGATTTGACAGAGAATATGTTACACCTGTGATTTAATTATATGACTTTAATAATTTATAAAGTGATTTTGCTTTGTTTTGTTGTTTTACTATTTATTAGTCATCTGTGATACCGAGTTCAATCTTTTGCTATTTTTCTTTTAGAATTATTTCTCTTACTGATATGTTTTTTTTAACCAGGTAAGGCTAATTATATGCAAGTTTGTCAGGTTTATTGTATCAAATTTCTAAATTTCTATTTCCCATTGTGCCTATGGGGTATTTTTAATGAATAGAAATTAATACATTTTGTTTGTTCTTTGCTTTTAATGTTCAAATAGATCTTTACCATCCTGAGGTCATGTAAAGATTCATCTGATTTTTCTTAAAATTTTTATAGTTATGCTTTTTCTAATGTAATATTTGAGTTGAAGCTATTTTTTCTGCTTTATGTAGTTGACTTAAAATTATCATTTATGTTCTGTTTACTGACTAAATGTTTTTTCATTCTTTCCACTGAGTTGGGATAGAAACTCTATAAAATACTAAATTATTATATACACTAGCTTCTGTTTTTTAAGCTGTTTAATATACCTAATTAGATTTATTATAGCTTCAAAATGTATTTTGATATCTGATAAAAGTTTTCTATTGCTGCACTTTGTTTTCAGATTTTACTTGAATTCTCTTGACTGTTTATTCTTATGAATGAATTTTGGAATTGTGTTTCAATACTGTAAAATCATCCTACAGGGGTTTGACTATATTAGGCTATTAATTAATTTCATAAGAATTGACAACTTTTATAATATTCAGTCTTTGCATCTAGATTAAATTCTTTTCTATAGATATGCCTTATTCTTGACCCTCAGTAAAATTTTAAAATTTTATAAGGGTCTCACATTTTAAAATAATTATTATTCCTAGTTGGTTTGGCTTCTGGGATGGATTTCTCCCCATTATATTTTGTAAATGTCTGTATTTGATGAACAAAAAAGAAAAACTTATTGATGTTTTATCATTTATTTTGTGCTTGGCTATTTTATCAAACATTCTTCTTTCTGTTATTAATTTCTCATTTGAGTCACAAAAATTCTCTAAGAGTGAGACTTATGTTAAATTCATTAATCATGATGATGATTTTGCCTATTCTTTAGAAGAACTATTTCTCTTTTTCCGATTTTATGTTTTGCATTGGTTATAATCATGCAAATAAATGTTTTTAACAGAAATAAAAAAGAAGAAACAGCATTTTTGCCCACATGAATACCTGGAAAGTTAGAATTATTTATTTTATTTTATTTTTGTTCACATCCCTTTTTGGTGATGTTTTACGTTTTCACACTATTCTTTGCTCTATGAAAACTTATTTTAAAATTTTTAATTTGTTTATTTTTCTGACCATTTTTGTAGCAGCTGAATCATCATCTAGTAGCTTTACTGCTCAATATTAGTCATGTCACCTTATGATCTTCCCATAGTGAAGAAATTTCATTCATTCCTTAAGAACCTGAAATATATATGAGTAATATGTTTCTGACTTTTGTATTCATGAGGATACCTTTTGTTTCCCATAACCAAAAGTAATAATTTAGCTAGATTCTGAATTCTTATGTTAAAGAAATCTTCTCCCCTAAAAACTTCATAGATTCTGCTTCATTTTCTTAGGTATTCATTGTTGCATAAAACTGGTCTAAACATAACTTTATTTCCCCCCAAGTTTGAAATTCATACTTTTCACCCAGTTATATTGAAATGTTGGTCATTCTTTTTCATTAAATTTGACTTATCTTGCATTAACCTATTTGATCTGAAGTAATGGCCTATTTGGAACAGGAAAGTTTTTTTCTGTTTTTTGATCACTGGTTAAGTTTAATTTATTCTGGATTCTTCTCCAGTAACACCAAATTGTATAGATTTAATATCTGATGTCTTGATATTCCAGATGTTTAACTTTCTCTCATAAATTTTATATCTTATCCTTTATCTATATTCTATGAGATTTTCTCATTTAGTCCTCCCCGATAATGATTTGATCTTCTACCATTTTGAGTCTGCTTTTTTTCTGCTTCTAAAACAGAGTCATTCTCCTATTGAGTTTGTCATTTCCTTCCCTTCTCTTCTCATTCAGTTCTCTACTCATCCCAACTTCAAACCCTGTTCCTTCCCTCACTAGCTGTGTGACTTTGGTTAGGATATTTAACCCCTCTGTTCTCCATTTTTCTCATTAACAAAGAGGAAATAATTATTCCCCAAAAATGAAATTAATTTGCCCTTGAAAACTTTTAGAAAAGTTTCTAGCTCATAGGAATGTGCTAGTGAATTTTGTTGTGGCCATCTTCCTCTTCCTCCTCCTCCTCTTCCTCTCTACCTATATCTCAGCAATGCTCCTTTTCTGTCGTCTAATTCTATGTGTATGTGTTTATGGAAGTCATATTTTATTTGCATCTTGGGGGAACAAAACACAGATACTCTCTAAAAGGTACTCCTGCTTTAAATCTTTCTCTAAATCCTCACCTTGAGTGTAATTGTACCCCCTTTTATGTTGTAGAATATTTTCATAAGTCTCATACTGTTGCTGTTAATTTTCTATTTATACCTCTTTGTGCAGGGTGAGGTCTCTTGAGAGTAGACAGGATAGATCAGTTCTCTTTAGTTCCCCTAAATTTTACCTTGGGCGTCGTCAGGATTTTCCCTGCCAATATTAAGTGGGCGGGCTGGTTCATATGCACAGTATTTAGTCAAATTGTTGCCTAATTGTTGGGCTATTAGGAGCAGGAGGGATAGGGTTGCACTTAGCACCTCTCCTGCTCTCTTCTGTGACTGTCCCACTCTACAGAGAGGAACGTATTCTTGGATAATTTAAATCATCATTCAGTCCGTTCATCCTTTGCTCAAAATAGCAGGTGAAAACTGCACTCTGTGAATTGCATTTTCTCATCACTCTTTTGTCTTGCTTCACATTACTGATTCATTTTCCAGATGTGAGATGTCATTATGTGCCCGGTTCTGCCCCCTGCCAGGCTACATTTCTGTGAACTGTAGTCCCTGAATAGATCTAAGAAAGAGGTATTGAGGGTGATTTAAGGCTGATGTGGACCTGGCTCCTGCATTTTAGGGCAACAGGTATTTGGTGAAAGTCATATAGGCAGGTATGTAAAAACCTCTTGCTTTCTAGCTGCTTGCTTTCATTATTTTGTCTTAAAGTCTTACGCACACTTGAATGGAACTTCCCTTAGGGGTCTGGAGGCACGTTGACTAATCTATATAGTGCCTTTGACTCTTTACATCTGTACATGTGTTTTTATGAATATTTCAAGAAAACTGGAGAGACTAAGGTCCCTTCAGGTCTTTTTTAAGTTTACCAACTTTTAAAAAAACAACTTTCTAATGATAGAATATAGAGTCAAAGACATCGTTTAAACCAAAACTTTGAATTTATAGTTGAAGGGATTCTTTCTCAGGGAAGTTGCCTGCCTTGTCTGAGGTCTGACAGGTCAGCGTTTTTGTCCCCTAGTTCCTTACTGGTTGGAAAAAAAACTAAGGCTATTCTGTCTAGTCTAGATTCTCAAATCAGTGTTTTTCATATTTATGCATTTCTTAAACAGCAAGAAGTCTTTTCCACATGGAAAAACAGAGAACTTAGAGGAAAAACTCACTGAACTGCACCAATGTTCCCCATTGTTCAAGTACTGGAATGAACTTTTTATGTTTTTCTTCCCATCTCCTTCTATACCTCTTTCTAACAATGTATAAGTACAATGAACATTGGAATTGGGGTGCTAGTTCTTTTAAAAGAGCTCATTCTTTAACAGTTATGTTGTGACAACCCACCTTCCAATGTCTGTCCCTTGGTGTTTCAGCTGCTGGATGCCTGCTCCTCTCGTCTGAAAATGGCCTGCCCAGTCAGAGCCCTGTACACTCTGGAAGGAGAACTGATTCAGTCGTGGGACGACATAGAGCGAGACATGGTCATCTGTGTGTCCCCAGGACGTGGTTTCATAACCCCCAAAGGTAGGATGACAGTTTCTTGTCCTTCAAATTTCTGAAGAATTAAAGCATTCATTGTCTTCTTCAAAGAACTTACCCTCATCTACCCTGTTCTATTCCATGTTATTAAAGTGACATTCAGGTATCCATGTGCTGGAACCTCACCATCAACACTGTGTGCTCTAAAGACTTCAGAGTGCCGTTAGTCTTGCACCTTGTCCAAGGGGCTTATTTGCAGACATACTGAAGGGCCTGTCTTGAAGGCCTTTTCTCAGCATGAACCCTGAAGAAATCGAGGCTCCACTGACTTCCTACTTTCAAGTTATTAAAACTTAGTGTTTTATTAATAGCAACTCTTCAGTTTGCAGATTTCCTTTCTTTAGTAATAAATATATGCTCGTTTTATCATCTTGTCTGCTCTTTGATATTTTTCTTTGATAAATGATAGCAGTGGAAAAGAACATATGTTAGTTTTTAAACCAACTGTTATCCTTTATCCTATTTATCCTGAGGAATTTAAAGCCCTTTGGTAGGGAGGCATATACCAGCAAAGACATAATTTTTAGGGAACTCTGAAGAACATTGGTATTACTTTAAAGGAAATTAAAAGATTAAGAAGTGAATTACCTGGAATTTCTAAAATAATAAAACTAGATTATTTCTTTTACAAAAGTGACCATAAATTATTATTGCTATGTTATATATAAGGTACGTAAACGAAAAACTTTTCAAACTGTTGCAATCATAGTTTTACATTTAGTCCAGAGGATACAAGAGCATAGGAATGAAGACTAAAAAGTAGGAAAACAGGACTTTACTGGGAAGCCTAGCGCTGTTTTGAAGAATGCTACAACTATTCCCTCCACACCCTCCTCTGTTAAGAAAGGCTCCAATCTGGTATTCTCTGTATTCTCTTGTCCCCATCACTCCCTGCTACCCAGCATCCTAGCTCCTGGTGATCCTCACCATGCGGTTCCTTAGAAGAACAAACTGGTGTTGGGGTTCTTAACATCCATAAGATTAGCTGAGAGCTTTCTCTGTTCCCAAAGTGCATAACCTGTTGAAGGAATCTTGCAGGCTTCCTTCTCTGACAGAATTTTTAATTTACTTAAGTATATGAACACACTCAAATACTTCAACACAACTGAATAGTAGGAGGTACTTTCTGAGTCCTTTCATTATTTCCACTTCACCTTTCATATTCTTGGGTTGGCCTTCCATTGTCGGGACTCCTCCCTCCTGGCCGCACTGTGTTTTTTGGGCCTTTTTGATAAATAAAGCTAAGTGTGCTTCAGTCACCCTAGCCAAAAGGGCATCCAAAATACAGTGAGAAGTGTCGGCTGCTTTCCCAGAGGCAGGCTCATTACCAATAAAAACTGTGAAAGGAAGAGAGAAAATTGGAAATGCAAATATTACTCTCCCTACCATTTTCCTCCATGTTAGCTCCATGAACCTGTGACAAGGTGTGTGCACATTTTTCAGTTTTGTAACCACATGGATTACTATGATGAGAAAGTGATGCTTTTTTATGAAAGTAGATCCCCATATTTCCTTCATACAGTGAAAGGGTTAGTGGTTTTCTGCAGTTGTCTGAATTCTTTCCAGTAAGTGATATATGTTCTAAAATATTCTGATTGATAGCAGACTTCTAATTTAGTTGTTCTTTAGAAACTTATTTTACTATATGAGTGCCATCTCATTGTTTTTTTTCTGAAATAATTAAGTTAGAAATGTAAATATTCAGAATATTTAAAAAGAGAAATGCTACCAGCATGCTCATACTTATTAAAGGACATTTAATTAATTAATCATTTCACTCATAATTTTTCTGTGACTTCTTGGCTTATATGTAGTAGTAAACAAGGCAGCCTGGGAGTTTCAAAACTAAACACTTGATAATAATTTATTTCATGTACTATAATGTAAAAACATTCAGCATTTGGAGGTTAGTCATCGAAGAATCAAATTGGGTTTTTAAAAAATGTTATTTTGGCAAAACAAATCAAATTCTGTAGGAATGGTTTCTTTCACACTAACCCCCAACAAAATCGAGTGCTTTATACCATTTGCCATGAGATCTGAATGCTATTCTCACTGCTGTGTTTACCATCTTTTCAGTGGGTTCAATTTTTAGACCACTCCTACGTTAGCTTTCAATTCAGGCTTTATAAAACATGTGGAAGGAAGCCCTCTCTAGCAACTGCCATTCCGTAGAAATCCAAAGAATGTTAACACTTTGGTGACATGATAAGCAAGTCAGGTGTGCAATGACGGTTCACTGTGGGAGTTGATGATTTCTGAAGGAACTTGAAGTGCTTCATTATCCTGCACTTTTAATTATTTTTCATAAATACATTGACTGGTGTCTCAAAATAATTTTTTTTTTAACAGAGTTAAAACAACTGATGGAGATCAGAGCAAATTATGCCAGAATCCGAAGGCAGCAGGGCCCAGGAGCCACAGACATTGTGGTGTCTCCATCCACGAAGGTGCAGAAGCTGGTACATCGACACAACTTCTAGCAGAGCCACCATCCTTTGTGCTGTATTTTGTTAGTATAACCTATATATTTGTGTATATACTTGCTATGATGTGATTATTATTCATCCTTTTTTAATTTTATGCTGTCTCTTTAAAAAGTTAGTACCCTTCACAGTTTACGTAGAATGGCATTTGATGCCTCAAATCTATTCTCAGAAAGGCAACAAAACTAGACAAAGCAATGCCAGTAAAATAACTATGTTAAGTGTATTTTCTTCCAGAAAAAAAGAAGGAAAACTACTAGTTATTACTGAAAAATAACTTAGTGGTGTCACATTATATATATATTTAAATAATAAAATAGATTCTTTGACCACGCAACATTAAATTTGACCCAGACTGACATTTCTTTGGCTCAGCCACTGTAGTTTCCAGACCTCCATGTTAGTATCCTACATTTATTGAATGAAAATGAAATGGCTGGTGGCCGCTGAATGCCACATGAGTCGATCTTTCCTCCTGCAATTTCCCCTCGGTTTGGCCTGTAGTAACTATGCCGGGCTATTTGGGGCCTGGGTAGATGTACTCACAAGAGTGAAGCTGGAATATTCCAGACATAAGCTCAGTAACCAAAAGTCTAGACAATGTCCTTAATACAAAACTGTCGGAGAGGATATATACACTATTTGAAGAAAAAGTCATGTAATGATTTTTTATATACATATAAAGGAATCAAGGGAGATGCTTAGCAATCTTCGTGTCAATTTCCTCCTGCTTTGAAGAAAGAATCATTAAAAAAAAATAACAATGACAAATCAGAGTTTGGTTTCTGATCTTTGTGGGAAATTTCCAGAGAAATGCTTTTTTTCTCCCTCTTTCTCTGAAAGCCATGCACAGCTCTGCCTGAATATAAATTGCAAGCTGGCTAGGTGTGTACAGAATGGCTCAGCTGGGCTCACTCCTCCATCCACCACTGTAATGTGATGCAGGAAAGCAGTAGATCATTTCTACTGAAGGGGGCTCTCAGTAATCACTGCAAAAGGCCTAGCATTTACTCCCAGCCTTCAAATCAGTAGGGCTGCATGAATAAATTCTTGCTTCCTCCAATACTGCTGAAAGCAGAGCACGTTGAGATGAAATTTCACATGTTACCTCCACAGCAATTTGCCCTTTTGCAGACATTTCCCCTACCTATTGGGTGATGTTAGTGATGTGAAGTCATTCCGGAACACCTTCGTGATGCATAGAAGAAAAAGATTGCTTTTTTTTTTTTTTTTTTTTTTTTTGAACAAGAAAGTCCAAACAAGAACGGTTAAGGAATGTGCTCCCAGTTATGAAGTGGGCCAACAGGATTTTTTTTTCAATTTAAATTTTTTTCAATTATAGTTTACATTCAATATTATTTTCTATTAGCATCAGGTGTCCACCATAAGGTCAACAGGATTCTTAACCTGCTGGGCCTCTCCTTAGAATGCCTGGATTACAGTCCCCGTAGACACAGGGCATTTTATGTTTTTTTCAAAATATCTTGAAAACAAAGGCATTTCTCAAGGTGCAAAACTACCTATCATTTTGCTGCCAAGGATAAGTTGATTTGCTATGAAAATGGCATAATTTCACCCTGGATCAAATGTGCAAATTCCTGTGAAGCCTTCACTGTTGCATGTGAATGCGCCTGAAGCGAAAATTGGTAATATCACACAATGCTGTATCAAGCACCAGGAGACATAAGGCAAAACTCTTAACTGAACTTTTCTATTACTAGTAAATGGGATTTTAGATGTAATATAACAGTCATCAACACATCACATTTTACCAGCAAGGCAGCGACACTTAGTTTGTTGACGACGGCTTGCCCAGGGTATGTTGGCAGTTCATAGCCACTTTTAACTTGGACTAAGAACAGCCCTGCTCTTTCCTTATTATTGACCCTCCTCTTTGGTTGGCTGGAAGGTGGACTGGGGAGCAGTTACTCCGCCATCAGCAAGGGCTGTAGGATAAGACTGTTGCAATTCTGTTCAGCCCTCCAAGGCTTTTAATAAACCCAGTAATTTCCTTTGGGGACCTGTTTATCAAATTTGAATCAGCCTCATATGTATAAGTCACATTTCAATATTTTTCTATCAACTGGAAACCATTTATTATTAACTACTATAGCAGCTATCCTCAAGTCCACAGCTTTCTCCAGAAATATATTTCCTGCTGGTTTGCAAACACCCTTAAGGTAATCCAGATGTTAATGAACGGCGGATCAGCATTTGCAATCATCCTCTGGTGAAGAACTTTTCTAGAAGTTTCTGCCACACCTCCTGCTTTGGTTGCCTGATTAAGTGTTGGAGAATGAAGCTGTATGTTTCCAAGCAAGTTAACTAAAACCAATATGCCTGAAAGTTTGACAGACATTTTGAGATGAACTGACAGCATTTATAAATAAGGATCATTTTATTGGGATGTTTATGTCAGCTTCATAAAACAGGACCCATTACTAATGATTCAAAATGCAGAGGTAGTTCCTTAGAGCAATAACCCTGAATTTCCATTTCTTTCTTGATTGTTCATAAAAACTAAATATTTTTTGTGGGTCAAGAAAACAAAGCAAGAGACAAACAAACAAACGAACAACAAAAAGCAAAGATAAATCTGTTCTCTTTCAAGAGAGAATCACTTAGAAATCGTGGCCAATAGCTGTTGCAGCACTTGTGAGCTAACCTTTATTAACAGCCCAGGTGCGCTGAGTGTCATTGAGATTTGTGATTCGCCCAGGCAGCAGTTTTTTCCTGGCATCAACTGGAAGAGAGCAATCAAAACCCACAGGTCTGCGTTATTCTCGGGCATTACAAACTCAGATGCAAATGTCCTCAGTTAAGTGGAATGTGGACCCAGCAGTTCTCCTCGGTGGTTTTTATTACACCAGTGTCTCCGGTTCCCTCCTGCCTCTGAACACATCTCAACCCCTCCTAGGGCTCGGTAAGCAGGAAGAAAGAGCAGCAGTTTTGTTCTCAACACAATAAACTAGAATTCCGCATAAATGTCATGATTTGGGGCTGCTCAGCCAGAAGCAACTGCAAAGCAAGATCAACAAAGACCACTCAGGAGAGGGCTGATGAAAGTAAATGGACCGACTGCGAACAGTGGATGTTCAGTGGGTGCCTGCTGCCAGCTATAGTATTTTCTAATTCTTCCAGTCTGTAATGTGAAACTACTATCAATAGGCTGTCACCCTGTGCCATATGTGCAAATAGAAATATATGAGGAGAGGGGAAGTGCTTACACTCATGGTGCAACTGTGTTGGGGGAGGGAGGAAGAAAGGAGACAGGAAATCATATTTATATGGCGAGTAAAATGGGGATTCTGAAGGGTCAATCAACTGCTGGATCCATTAGGTCCTGGCTCACCAGTGCTAGAAGTTTCGAACTTAGGAATTGATTTTGGGGTTTCAGCTTGGGAGAGGATGGTCAACAATGTCGGCTCTGTCAGAACAATGGAGGCCACTGGACCATCGGTCTCTAGGTGCCCCCAGCAGCAGCTGTTTTAAAGGAAATTGCCCAAAGGCACACTCAAATAAGCCTGCAGACTCTGCTGGTGAGGAAGAGAGGAGAGGGATCCCCAAGAAATGCTAGGGTTAGTGCCCCGCCAAGCATAAGGTGTGATTATACTCATAACATTTTTAAAATTTCAACCACTCTTTCCCTTTTTCCTTCCTGTCTTTTCTTTCCTTGGCCTTATGACCTTCTTTTCTCTGCCTTCCTTGCTTTTCTCTTCTACGGGCCTTTAAATCCCATCTTTTATCTTAAAAACTGTCCTCCCTGGAGCTATTTGTAGATCAGCAAAGATCCTAGGGATCCCATGATATACAGCAAGAATGCTTCTCAAAGTGTAATGTGCTCACAGTAGTGATAACATACAGAGTCCTAGGCCCAATGGCAGAGATCCTTACTGAGGTGGGGCAGGGCGTCAGCATTCCCAGGTAGCTCACCACACTTCAGGAACCTCGCCCAGCTCTTTCCTCGTCAGCCGGGCGGGGCCCAAGCGCTCGGTACAGTTTCAAGAGCACTGTGGGCGCTTTCATTCTCACGTTCAGGGGCTATGAAGGCAAAGAAGCACTTGCTGTGTGTAAGGGTTTGAATCTAACTGTCCTCATGTTTACTCATCACCATTTCCTTGAGAAATAATGGAAATGACCTTGTGTCCGGACCAGCCACCCAGAGATTATAACCAGGACACAGGCGGTGGAGGCAAAACAAGTAAATCTGCAGTGCTGAAGCTTCCCATGTTAATTAAGCTGCCTTCAGTGCTGATAAAATTGTACTATTGTAAAGGTCACAAGAATAATGTCAGGGTTAGGAACAGTAATTTTGAGGGTAAGGGACATAGCCAGCTTCCTAGAGTTTTCTTACGCATTTCTCTATGTACAAAGAGAAAGAGCTTTGGAACTGGGACAGGGAGGGGTCCTGTATGCCACTGAAGGAGCTTCTTGCTGGGGTGGGGGGAGGTTAAACCTCTCTGTTCTATGTTGGCTCTTAGTCCTGGCAGGCTCAGTTCAGTAATGAATGCTCTTAGAAAAATTAATTTTCCAGTTAGTTCTCTCGCCTCAAAATGGAATCCATATAGATTGGGAGACAGGTTTTCCTTAAAAGACAGAAAGTACAAAGAAAATTAGTTATTCGAGGAACTAATTCATATATAAATAAAGCCAGACACTCACTCTCCTGAGAGCCAGGCACACAAAGCTGTGAGCAATAGGTGTGTAGCTACGTGATAGTGTAGAGGCCCTGCATGTTGGAATGATGGGCAGGAAGTGAGGTGGGAGGGGTGGGCACGAGCCAGAGGCTGCAAGGCTTTGTAGGTCATGCCAAGGAGTTTGAAATTTTCTTTCTTTTTTTTAAATGTGCATTTGGAAGCCATTAAAGGAAACTAGAAGTTTTATATTAAATTAGGCTCGCTCAGGTTGGCAAGCTATGAAGACGGACTCGAGATTTACCTCTGGTGCTAGAGGTTTGTTGGAAGGGTTAACAAGGAAGTGGGAAAGCCCAGGAAAGCTCAGCACACAGGCTTCGTGGTGATCCCCGTTCATTCAAGATGCATGGCCTGTCTGTCCAAATGGCCACCCAGTATGCCGTTCCCATCCTTGACGTCTCAGCTTCTCTGTGCTTCTTGCCTCTGCTGTGAAATTCCTACTTCTCCACGGGCTCCTCTCTGCTGAGATGCTCACTTACCTAACTCCTGGCTTCTGCTGCTTCGTGGCTTCTGTTTCCCACTTTCTTTTTATATTTCTTTTGGCTCCACGGTCACTGTACCATCTGAATTACTTTCTTTGTGTCTTCTAATGGGAGAGTGAATGACTGGAGGCCAGCCAATGGCTGCCTTTTCCTCCTTCTTTTATGTTAGGATCCAAGGGAGCCCATGATATACAAAGCCCAGCTCGCCTGTGTAAGCAGCAGTGTGGGCTGATCTTTCCTTAGGAAGCTGTGGGTATGGCTGGCAATCGGGGCTCTGTGGCATTTTCTGTATGGATGCATAGTTCTGCCATCATTACGATCCTTTCCTCTCTTTGCCCCTTGATGGGACAACCTTGGTCTTGGCTATACGGGCAACACAAATGTGAGGCTGAAATCTGTGACTTTGGTTAGAGTATCAGAATGGATACCAACTGGACTCTTAACTTATACTTCCAAATGCAAGCAAGTCAGTCTGAAGAAGTAGATCTTGCAGAGACACCTTTGCAAACTCAGGACACTCCGGCATCCATGCAGTTTTTTCCAAATCAATTTGGAATGCTGAACACTTTCTTTTAGAGCTTTCCTTGTGCCCTGTTTAATGCAGTCATTGTGACAGGCTGAATTCCACTGTGGATTTTGATTTTTGTTACCATCTCTCCCTCTCCCTCCACTCTGCAAGGCCAACCTGGTTAATAGTTTTCTCAAAGTGCTTTGAAGTTGTTTACTCACAGTGACTTTCTTCAGACTATTGCTCACTCAAATAACACTGATGGTTTTCTAACTAGTCATTGTACACCCCCGGCCTTGCTCCTCTCCCATTCTTTATCCTCCCCAGAATTAAAATCATACTATGTTATTTTCTTCCTTAAACACTTTCAGCGGCCCTTCTTTGTCATCCAAATATAGAACAAGCTCCTTCAGGTAGCACCCGATGCCCTGGAGTATTGTGCTTCTTAAGCCCTGCAGTCTTAGTTTCCACACCATTTTTTTTTTTCAGAGATCTTCCCACTCATCCTAAATGTTCTCTCAGTTCCCCCCAAATCGGGTATTCTCTCTTCCATATCTTTGCACAGTCTCCTCCCATAGCTTTCTCGGGAAATTATCCCTGACCACTGCCCACACCCAGCCCTGTTAGGAGCTCCCTGTCCCCTTTGCTTTCCTTACCTGTGCACTCTTCACTGTTAATATAGTTTTTCTCCCACTGTTAATTCCTTGAAGGTAAGGCCAGGCTTGTTCACATCAGTATTTCCTGTGTCTGAATATTCCTTACTCTACAACATACAATAGTGAATATTTGTTGAATGAATGCAAGATTTAGGGTAACTGGTTAAAAAAGTACCTCTTTTTAAGGTAGGAATTGAATCAGAGCTTGACTTTCTGTAAAACTCTCTTCTCCTCACACACATTGTTACGGCCTAAATATTTTTGGCTCCCTAAAATGCATGCGTTGAAATTCTATGCCCCAGTGTGATGGTGTTAGTGGGTAGGGTCTTTGGGAAGTAATTAGGGTTAGATGAAGTCATTAGGATGCAACCCTCATGAATAGAATTAGTGCCCTTCAAGAGCTGTAAGAAAACTTACTTCCCTGCTCTGCAGTTTGTCACGTGAGGATACAAGGAGAAGTCAGCAGTCTGCAATCCAGAAGAGGAAGCTGGCACCCTGATCTCAGACTTCCAGGCTCCACACTCAAGGGAAATAAGTTTCTGTTTCCTGTAAGCCGACGTTACTTGGTCATAGCAGCCTGAGCTGAGACACACATTGTCACATCGTCCATACACTGTTACACAACTTTCTTCTAAAACCAGTCTTGCACTTGGTGATAAGGCAGTATAGACTGACTGAATTTCCTTTATCAGCAGGCAAACCAACGCAATGCTGACTCTGATCCCTTCTTGCTAATTGTAACTTTGAAAATGTTCCTAAGACCTGATAGAGTAGAAAACCTTCTCTCATCAGTGCCCAGATGGACCCGTAACTGCTCACCGCCTCTGCTGCAGGCAGCCGGGCTTGGAAGGGAAGACGTCACCCCCTTTCGCAAGTGTGATGATTTGTGGCTGAGGCGGGAGAGCCTGCTCTCTGAACCACATGCCCCCTGGTGCAGGCAGGCTAAGGGAAGATGAATGGCATTATAAGACAGACATCTGAATGTTTCGTATTAAATTAGTCCCACAGAGCGCCCAGAATTCTCATTCCATAAATCACAAAGTAAAATAAACTCACTCCCAGGTTAGATTGCTGTGACTTTGGCCTGTGGTGTCATAGATAATCAGAGAACAGTTAAACATTTGTCTCAAATAGTAATAATTTTCAGCATATTTACTCAGTGACACAGAGGTGACCCAGACTGATCTCTGTTGCCAGAAACAGCATGTAAATGGGAGTCAGCCAATTTCGGAGATTTCCAAACAAGTCACCGCTCCTCACCCCCTCCATCTACTCTGAAACTTCCCTGAGCTCCGTAAGGATCTGCTGGGTGCTGGAGGCCGAGATGAGATAACCTCGCCTTCTGGAGAGCAGCTGTGAAAGAGCGCGGATGTGCCCACCCCTTCAGGACATCACAATTGCAGCACCATTTTGAAATCCACCTTCACCCTGTCTTGCTCTAAGCATCAGAGCCAGGAAGCACCTTGATTCCACTAATGCCACATTTCTCTTCAATGACAAACATTCTGAGAATAATTTACATATCCTTGGACCCATTCTGCTTCCATTCCGGAGCTGACTCTGTAACTACGGGGACCTAATAGAATGGAAGGAGCATTAGGCTGCAGTTTATGAGATCATTCAGCTCGATGCTAACTGGTTGAGGGTCCATCTGAGTTCATGCTTCCTCTTTAATCTCTAAAGACCCATCTAACTTTAAAAGTCTGACTCTGAATCAGTAGCAAGGTATCTCCAAGGGCTCCAGTTGACCTTGGGAAGCCTATCTCTCTAGGTCCTGCAACCAGGTCATCTTGATCCTCAGAAACCCAACCTAAATTTTATCAGAGTGACAGAGGAAGGCCATGGCCCAGCTTACTGGAGGCCAGGACTGGAGGTGGTCCCTCTAGGGGGAGATCTCCGGGCTAGGTGTCAAAGGCCTGAATGGAGTCATGCCTCCTGCCCTGTTGGGCATGCGCTTTGGTATGAGGCTCAAATAAGAAACATGGGAGGCAAAGGGCACTAACGCAGCCTAGTGTCTACCTGCGCTGGGCCCCATGTTCGCCTTTGACACCGCTGTCTGTCTCATTCCACACTCATGACGACCCTCCAAAGTAGGTTGTTTTTTTTTTTTACTTCCATTTTTACATTTTACAGATGACGAAGCTGAGAGGTGAAATATCTTGCCACCCACCAATGAGTGGCAGAGCTGGTATTTGAGCCCCAATCTAACTAACCTCAAGGCCTGTGCTTTCTCCACTGTTCAGTGCCTATAGAAATATCAGATATGGTTACTGGGAATTCTAAAACAGAGTTCACTGGATGCCTTCAAGGAATAATTTTATGGTTTAGTCACTGCCTGCTTGTAAGGTTTCCCTGATGATGGCTACACTAAGCAAAGTGGGCTACACGTGGATGGCCAACCCCAGGTGTGGGGAGCGCTGCCAAGCGTGTGGGAGAGGCCCTCGCCAGCCCATCAGGTCACAGCAAGCCTTCAGCGGTCACACTTCTTACCCCAAGGGCTGTATGAATCTGTGTATTAGCTGCTAGGGCTGAAGTCACAGAGTAACACAAACCGGGGCCTTCGACAACAGAAATTCCTTGTGTCACAGTTCTGGAGGCGAGGAGTCCGAGATCAAGGTGCCAGGAGGGTTGCTTCCTTCTGAAGAGTGTGAGGGAAGGGTATCTTCTGTGACTCAGCCTTAGCTTTTGGTGGTTCGCACACAATCTTTCAGGCATTTCTTAGCCTGTAAATCATCACCAGACGTCTGCCTTCATCTTTACATGCCATTCTCCCTGTGTGCTTGCCTGTGTCCAAATTTCCCATCTTTATAAGGACACCAGTCATATTGGATTAAGGGCCTACCCTAGTCCAGTATGACCTCATCTTAACTGATTACATTTGCAGTGATCCTATTTCCAAATAAGATCACATTCTAAGATGCTGGGGGCACAGACTTCGACATGTGAATTTCGGGGGAGCGCTTTTCAATTTATAGCAGTCGGCATCAAAAGTCCCCACCCTCACCCGCGCAAGCACTTTGTCTGAGCACAGCTGCTCTACCATTAAAGATCACAACCTTCTTTCTTGATGGCATGTCTCCCTCCCTTTTATGTCTTTCTTGTTTCTTACTAACACTGAAGTCTGATATTAATGGAAAAACCATTAAAAAAAAACTATTATCCTATGAGGTAAAGTGAATGCACTCAACTGTAAAAGGAAGACTTATCGATCAATTTCAGGTAAGGCTTGCTTGTCAGACACTTTGCAGCTAAGGAATGTGTTTTTATTGCTTGGCCAGATAGTTCAGATTTCCGGTCCGTCTTAGTAAAGACCCCTTTTATAACATTGATAAAATTTTATCACGGAGCTATGAAAACAAAATTAGATTTCATAACTCACATCAAGCCTTGAAAGGGATGCCTCTATAAATTTTACAAGCCTTATTGAGTTTTAATGCACCCATTCTGATAAATATTTTTAAAACAGCAACTTCTACTGAACTTTGTATATATGTATGTGTGTATGTAAATAAGTGTGTGTAAAAATATGTCTATTTTTATCACCTTCTCTGTCTCACAGGAAAGAAAACTTTCTTCACCTACTTGTAAATAGAAAACTGTTAACATAAATGCCAATTATGTAGATTGCAGAACACCCTGAATTTCAAACAGTCTACTTCTATAAAAGAAATCTGTGTAGATTATTTAAAAATTTAGTCCTAAAATTTATCATTCAAAAATGACTGGGTTTTTCATGGGCAGCTTTTGAAGAATTACCAATGCTGATTAAATCAGCTATAAGTTATCTATAAATTCCTAAAAAGACATCATAATCAAGGACAGTATTAGCCGTAGGGATTTTGTATTCCAGTGAGATCTTGTGTACATCCTTTAGTTCTTCTAGTTTATAGAGTGGCCCGTTGGGAAAAAAAATATTGAAGATATATTGAGCACGTGTCTTGTCTCCCCAACTAGATAGTAAGTACATGGAGGGCGGAGACCCTTGTTTTTATTTACTTGGGACAGGGCTGTGCCCACAAGGACTCAGGCGGTGTCCAGCAGGCCCACTGCCAGAGCAGCGTGATGGGAAGTTGAGGTTCAGGCATCTTTCATTCTCATGCTGGACCACAAATCAACCTTACAACTGTATCACAAGAATAGAGGATCTGCTTTATAGAATTTCAGTCAGCTGTGCAGGAACCAAAACCCTCAGAGTCAAATGAAATGGAGCTATTGTCGGATAGTCCTTTCTGCTTTTCAGAGGAGAGAATCACTTCTCCAAATTGTGCAAATGAAATAAATGTCATGGTGTAAACCAGGCCTCTTATATTCTTGAAATATATCTTTGATAACTATATATTTTGGTTTCAAGTGCCAAGTTTAAAGAGACATTCATAAATTACGTGAAATTTTGTATAAATTAACTGACAACATTTAAAACTTCAACAAACTGTAGTAAAGGAGTTCTCAAACTGTGTTGGTTCTTATACCCCTTTGACAATCTTTTGAAAGCCATAAACTTACAAAATGGACCTACAAAAAAAAGTTTCTTTTGTAGCATTCCATGAGGCCCCCAGGCCTACCTGAAAAATACCTGCAAACTCCAAGAGCTGCTGATAGAAGATATATCTGAGTTCCATAATCTTGAAGGTTCGGGGGACCTAGGATCTGTACCCCTCAGTGGAAGATGTGGAAGACTTTCACTGTGGTAATACGTTGTGTTGTTATATTCAAAAACAATAAACCATGAAGATTTCTTATTATCTTTGAGGTCTGATTTTGCATCTACGAATCTTAAGTGAAAGAGGAGATGGAAATGTAAACTTCTTCAAACAGTGTTCTTCTAGTTTATAGAGTGGCCTGTTGGGAAAAAAATATTGAATATATATTGAGCACATGTCTTGTCTCCCCAACTAGATAGTAAGTACATGGAGGGCGGAGACCCTTGTTTTTATTTACTTGGGCATTTCTTGGAAAAAGCACTTATTACCTGGAATACAAAAGCTAATTAAGTTGACGTTTCTTACCATCACAGAGCCATTTTACTTGCTACTCATACAGGCAGTGTGGCAAGGGGTGATATGTGCTGTTTCCCTTCTGTCTGTCAGGAGAATAAATGGGAACACCGGCCGCCCAGCAGTCAAGTAGAAGAGCTGCCGCAGACACCTGGAGCCTGCCTGGGAATCTGTTGCTCCCTGGCCTTGGAAACATATGCCCTGGGACTGAAACTCCTGCTGTCTCCACTGCCGTACTTTAGTGCACTTACCTTTTATATAAGATGGCGATGTTTCCACATGTTCAGACAACTTTCTGATCATTTATTCCAAGTCATGTTACAAGTATATTTCAGTTAATTTAGTCAATGCTTACTGTACTCTCAGTCAGAAATGATGTTAAAATGCCTTTTAAGTCCCTGAAAGGTATTGTTTAGACACCTTCAAATTATTAACTTTTATTTGAAAAAAATATGTTGGAGGTTATCATTTAATGTCATTGTGCCTGGCTAGAGTTCTCGTATTAGAAAGGACACTAAGCTGGGAGCAAAAGACACTCTCCAAGGCTACTCTTTTTGTCTCTGCTTTGTTTCCAGAGTCCAGCATGGTGCTGGGAACACAGTAGGTGCTCATTAAATATTTGTTAAATATCAAATGAGGATCTGAGTTTCAACCCTGGCTGTGCTTCTGACTACCCATGGGACAGCTCCATTTTCTCATCTGTGAAATGAAAAGAACAGTATTTTCTTCTACCCACCCCCCCCAAATGTTATTTTTTTGCATCAGATGAGATAAAACATGAAAAATTATTTTCCTTCTTTTATGAAAAAAAAGAGATTGTCTTCAAAATGAGACATAGGATTTCATACCGATATAAAAGAAGTTAAGTACCATTGTATTATTGAAAAGGAAAGAAAGAGATCATCACAGACTTAGAATTCAAAATAAGATTTTTTCAATGAAATTTTAATGCTATATTAAAATTAGAGGGACCATTACACCCCAAGCTTGAATGCATCAAAGCTATGAGCTTGCTTTAATTCCTGTGTACAACCTAAGACATGTCAGAGCTGCCGTGTGGCCTGTAGGGGAAGGGCTATGACACTCATATCTGTGTGGAGAGGCAAGTTCTGACCCTCCACAGGGAAGGGGGAGACAAATGCTGCGGCTGAAAGTTAACAAAAATTATTTTAAAGGTGCTGATAATGCATGTTTTTAGGATTGTGATTTACTCAAGTATTTGAGAAGACATAAATACTCCAAACCCAGAAAAAATGGGCATCATTTATCCACGTAACATATTTATGGAATTCCTGTGATAGGTTATCACTGCTCTGGGAGCCGGGCTATATAATGCTGAATGAGACAGGGTCTTCATTCTCACGGACCTTACTGGCCTTATCAAGGCCCACAGACAATTAAAAAGGGAGACAAATAAAGAGGTAGGAAAACAACTAGAGACAAGTACTATGAAGGAAAGAACACTGGGTAAAAGGATAGAAAATGACTAGACAAATTGATATTCAAATGCACATAGTTGTTGAAAAGTATTTTTTGAGTGAATAAATAAGTGAATGGTGATATAAAAAATAACATATGCAGAAGAAAAATTAACTGTAATTGTCTACTTTGGAAGCACTCTTTTATGGGGTTTGGGGAAGAGAGCAGTTGAGTTGGAGTTAGTAAACAATGAAGTCTCTGTGCTGTACTCACGAAGCTGTGTGCACTTGGGAAATTCACCTGTAGACACCTGGTTCATCAGAAGACTCTCAACTTTTTGATACACTGGATTCTGACAAGAGGCAGAGTATAACAAATTTTGAGGTGACTTCAGAAATATTACTGAGTTTATATTTATCTCTCTCGGGGCCTCAGGAAAACGTTGTTGTTCCCATCACTGCTGCCGCCTCCACTGTGACGACCAGGGTTGTCCGGAAGGAAGTATTGCCCCAGTAGGTAGGAGCACAGGTGCTGGACACCATGAATGTTGGCTAGGATGTCACCTGCTATGTATCAGGCACCTTGATACCTCTTCATTTATTAACCTGTTTAGTCCTCACAACTATTATTAGCTCTGTTTTGCAGATCTGGAACCTGAGGCACTGCTGTTAAGTAACCAGCCTGCGATCGCACACCTAAGACAAGTCTGGGTGAAGCCTGGTGCCAAAAGCGCGGCCACTAACCCTCTGCACTAACTGTTGTCTCTTTGTTCATGTGAGAAATATTTTACATGGAGAACCTACTATGTGCTAAGTACTTGTTTGATCAAGCTCAGTTTGACATTAAACAGATAACCCTTTTTTTGTGTCATGAGAAAAGACTGGGCACAGAAGGCAGGGGTGGGAAGGAAAACGTGAGTACCAAGAATACCTTACTTGTTCCTTTGATTGAACTCGGGAGAAACAACATTTTTTCCTCCTCACTACCACTCTCTGAGCTTCTGGAATCTCTCTGCTCTCTGTTTGAACTTGAGAAAATATAAAACTTGTATTCTCTCTGTTCCCAGAGCTTTCAGAATCCCTCAGCATTTGGTTTAAATTAAACCCGTTGGCCGAGGCATTATAATTCGGCTTCCACACAGATGATCCCATCACCCGTCGCCTTATCTAACCTAACCACTTATTACAGTAACGGAGCACACTAGTCTGGGGCAGGGCCAGCACCAGGGGGAGAAGGTCACTCAGGTTTAGCAGCCACATGTAAGCAGCAGGGTGGTGTCCTTTCAGAATCAAAAGGAGTAGATTCATAAAACCCAATCAGGAGCATGTGTGTGCATAAGCTTTTTTTTTTTTCTCCCCTGAATCTAAATTATAGTGATTTTAATAGCTTCAGTAATTAGACAAGTATGCAGTCAACCCCATTATGTTCCTGTGTAATATCACACTCCCCAGGGCCCACCTTCCCTGCTTGCTGGGCTCCCTGCATGGGCCCCCTTCCCCCTTATTTTCTACCATAGGAAAGCAGTTTTCTTTTCAAAGAGCTCACTGTTCACATTGTTTTTGTTCGCTCAATCTGGAGGTTGGATTTGCTTTCTCAGGGGTTTCACCATTGCATTGCCCATTGTGCAGGGAAAGGACAGAGCGGGGCCTGGCCGCTCCCGTGCATCTTCCGTGGTGCTCAGGGCACACTCCAGGGGCTCAGGGGAAGCCGCAGTGACTGAGAAGGCACCCAGAAGACAACTGGCACAGAAACGGCACTGCAAAATTGTTTACAACTGAGTCTAACAAACTCTTCAATGTTCCATTATTGACCTTAAAGGAAATAAAACAAAATGCAACATTCATTCTCTTCAATCATGGCCTTTTTTGGGGGGGGGGGGGGGGGTAGAAAATTGCCTTTCTTTCCGCCTCCCTGATTGCCTCTCATTATTTTTTCTCTTGTTTTGTAACTTTCTATTTTCCATAGTAATATTTCACTTTATCATCATAGATAATCTCCCTGCAGGTGCTGAGGGCTGTATTGTGAGATACATTGGACACCTTGGATTTTTCTTATTGTTGTTTCCTCTAGAGCTACGAAAAAAAGAAAACAAAACAAAAAACTCTTAGTCACTTGAAATTAAGGGGAGGATGCGCTGTATTACTAAAATAATGCAGTTTAATCGAGAGATCGACGTTTT